GTTTGGCATTTGGTTGCTTTCGTTCTGGTAACCCTCACACCCCTCTCCACACACACACACCTTTTTATTTTTTTAATTCACTGTTTGTTTTCATTTTTCAACGCCCTTTCTGAGTTTTCTTCTTATGATTCACTGGCAAAGGGTATGATGATTGTGATGATACGTTTCCTTGTCATATTCAAGTCTTAATCGTCCTTGAAACCAGCAAGATTTGTTGCTCTTTCAGTGGTATAACTTCCTGAAAACAGCAGCATATTTCCTATAGGAAATATGTATATAACTATTACACTGAGCCAGTCATTTTATACTTTGCACGAGACATATTTCCTCATATTTGCAATACAGCCGTAATACCTTTTTCTAGATTTTTTCTTTCATCATTTTTTTCTGGACATATTCAGCGCCGATATCCTGAAAGTATTATGGATTCAAAATAGAATTGTACGACCTTTCACAGGGTTTTTGATTTGTGTCGATAGAATGGATATACCTGACGATATAGTGGCCCAAAGTTGAAGTTTAAATTTTTTTTTGCTTGGTATGGTCTATGGTATTTCTTTAGTGGCATTAATTAACAAGAAAACGAGCTACTTATCATTGAAATTGCCGAAAGAATGTCAGAGGAACGAAATATTTAGTAAATCAATAATGAAATTGATTTGTTTTTAGTTTTTTCACAGTCTGCAAGGGTATACAAATTTCGGTGAGAAAAGGTTGGTTCTGCAAGCTATTTTTGTAATGTTATAGCGGAAGCTGCTTTTGTTCCGTTTAGCCAAAAGCTTTGGACTTGGCTTGGCTTAATTAAAGCTTCACTTTCGAAATACAATTTGCAGCTGGAAATGAGCTTAAGCGAGCTAATTGAGTTTTTGTGCGAGTCTCACCTGGGACTGCAGCGGCTGATCAATAAACTCAATTGTCCGTAAACCGGCTAAGCAAAAGCAGGAAATCAGAACAATTACAGGTCGGAACCTCTCCCGACTGTCAATGAACGACTGGCAGGCGGCCGGATCAGATCTGGTCCGGTTTCGTTCCAAAGAACGTGATTTATACAGCAATTGTTTTGTGGCTGTCGTGCGCTATGAATATGCAAGAGCTGCCGTTTGCCGTGTTCCCCCCTCACCACATGGAATATGCATGAAAGTGTGTGAAGTGCCAGAGCACTGCAATCTATGTCACATGCAAAACAGGGTCCTTCGAATGCCATGCATTTCAAGTGTTTGGCGAAGATTTTGCATGAAATTCATTTGCGTAAATCTCTCGATTACTCCAATGCTTAGCATATTAATGGTTGCAGCTATTAGGGAACTATCACTGTACATAGAAATCATCCCAGCAGAAATACAAAGCTTAGAAAGCGTACAAAAAATACCCAATCGAAGGAGTATGTAAGGAGGATTCTGAACCAATTTGGTTGGTTTCTTCGTTCAGTTCCACTCAAAAGTTCCCCAGGCAAAAATATGCTGCAATGCAGAATGAACACAAGTGGGTGGATGTCGCCTCTCAGCAGTTATAGTCGCACTCCCAGGAACAGAATGTGAGGGCTTGGTATACCTAAGACTAGGCCTTCCGACAGACCAAGTACAAGTAGAAGAAACCCAGTGCCAAGCCCACGAAATCGACGAAAAGGTGCACAAAAGGGCAAAAGCCTCGAAACAGGAAACTTCTGAAACTGCCTAGCCATTGAAAGCTATTTTAGATCTTGGAAGGTCCGAATCCAACGATTAACCTGCATAACTGGCATACTGGATCTATATTATATCGTAGCTGTCATACAATTAGAGATTAAATGAAAGGCTGATGTGTAATAGCAATGCATTTTTGTTGGATTTTATTTATATATCTATTGTTCTTAAATCAATAGATTGCTTCGGCTTGAGCTGCTCATCCCAGGCCCCGCAAGCTGTCCAAGTTTCGTGCCCCGACCCTCTCCTGTTGTAAAACCTGAGGCAGTTGCTTCGCAGAGACAACTCGTTGGGGCATCCCTAGGGCCTGTTGCACATCCGAGATCTCCAAGCCGAACAGCAACGGCAGCAGCGAGATCAGACAGAGCGCGACGAGAATGAGTTTCATCTTTGGCCAGATCACGGAGTAGAGTGACTGCCAAAAGCGAGGTGGGGCGGGTTTTTATACCCGTAATTATGGTGCGACCTTGGGGCTGGAGAGACAAAGCTGAAACAGCTGGGGATCTGGCGCAGCGGATGGGCTTCTAAAATTAAGTGCGAATCGAGTCCGAGCTTGAGTGAGAGACGCATTTAAGCACTGAATTCCTCGTGGATTTCCGGCTGGCAATTAAGAAAATTGGCCAGCCGGTGGATGCTCACAATACTGGCCTTACCAACCCTCCGCCCTCCGACCACCACCCACCACCAGCCACTTCCATAGAGATTACATAATAGATTGTAAATATTTGACACCAGCCAGCCACCCACTTAACCCCCAACCAGGTTTCTGTGGCCTTAACAATGAAAACAATTTACCCCATTCACTGCTATTTGGTGGCGCCTCAGAGCTTACCCCCGGCTTTTCGTCGAAGTTTCTCCAATTACTTTTTGCACGATTTGATTTTACATTTAACGATTTTTCGCACTTAATTAGAAGCCAGTGTCGATGTCAGTGGCAGACCAAGGAGTCCTCCCGAAGGGTGTGGCCATGATTTGATTAAATGTGAAGATGAATTTTAATTAAAATCCATCCCCAGCCCCAATCCCAGCTCCTGTTTCAATCCCTTACCCGTAGCAGGCTGCGGCCAAGTTTTTGACACTCAACACTTTCCGGCCCTGTCTCTGCCTACTCCTCCACCATCTAATAGAGCAATAAAAGCCGCAAGTTCATGCCCGGCTTTATAGTGGGGAGGGGGAGAACAGGTCCTTTGAGGGCTTAGTCATTGCCAGCATTGTAATTTATGCAAAATGAAAATTAAAGATCCACAGCGGGGCACAACTTTTCCAAGGATTACTGCAAATGGCAGACTAATGAATTTTTGAAAACTACTTACAAGTATTTTCGACCAAAACGGTGCCCCTATCCATATCAATTAAAGTGCTTTAAGCCCTGGACTGCCATCAATCCCTTGGCAAATAACGAATATCTGCGTTAATTTTCTAAGGACTACGACTAACTCTGACTAACAATGCCGCTTTGTCCGCCAGATGGAAGACTTTTGGTGAAAGTTTTCCAAAGCCAAAAAGAAAAGGCAAAGGCAAAGGAAAAGAGTGCCAAAAGAACTGTGAATCAAACGCACTCGCCCTACGCTCACTTTCTAGACACTCACATGCACTGCATAAAAAAAGAAACTCAAGAAGAAAGCCGATAGGCAAATAGTTAATACCCTTTCATTAAATACGACCATGCACTTTTCTGTCGATGGCCTGTAACTTTTATAACTTTAAAAATCGAATCTGGAATGGAATGGAAATTGAATTGTAGAAATATTATAGCCAAAATTGAATATTAAAAAACTGATTGATTACAATTCAATTGTAATTGATTGATCCCCAAATGTTGGAATTTCGACAAAAGAAGTCGACTTTTTATGTTGGTTTTCCTTCAATTAACCGAAGAGTAATCGAATTCCAATTCAATTATCATCCCAATATACCCTTTCATCTCCATAGGGAATATGAAAACTCTTCCACAGTGGGGTTTGGGCGTGGGGTGGGGTCCTGTTGGATGAAGGGAAGTGGCTGTGGTGGTTCCATATACACACTCGCAATCGTACAGTTCGGTAGCCTGTCGCCTCCAATGGGCCGTTCAAAATTACGAGCCAACAGTTTCCGTACTGTTTTTTGTCATTTCCATGCGCTCATTGTCAGTTTTAAGTAAGCAACTTCCTCGTTTTTGTTGTGGTTCATGTTTGGGGAGCAAAAGCAGCAGCAGCAGCAGCCAAAAGTTTTCCGACCAAAACTCTGCCTACAAATGCAGACAAATATGGAAAAACTCATGAAATGCAATAAATTTTCAAATATATTTCGTGTGCGCGGCAGAAGAGTGTGAGTTTTTTAGTTGCTGTCTGTTTCAGACGTTCTTTTTCGTTTTTCTTTTGTTAGATATTCATTTTGCAGGACCTACATACATATACAGAGTTTTCATTGTTTTAAAGTGGAAACTTTTTTCTTGGTGCACTGCCACACACAGAACGTGCTGATAAAGCCGCGTTTTGCCAACAATCAAATAACTGAAACAGAGACGGTGACGGAGACGGTGACGGAGACCTAGACGGCCAGAGAGAGATACTGACTGTTCGTTCGGCCACAAGAACTGGGGCCAGAGACCGAGGCCAAAAGCAGCATATAAATCAGAAGAGCTATTGCGTAAAGCCAGAAGACCAAAATTTACGAGTCACTCTTTTGGAATGGCCGGCCAGAAATAGCAGATATCGATGGCTGAATGACAAATAGAAAATTTGATTTAAAAGTCCTTAATGGGGAAAGTTGTTCACTGTGTTCACAGTGAAATGCAGTTCTTATCGCAAATAAAGTGAACCGCAAATAGGCTTGACATATTTAGTTTTCGTATCACCACCCATTGTCCTGTAAAATGTGTAAACACTTGATCGATTCAGTTTCCATCGAATCCAATCGCTTATTAGTACTTGAGTACTTACCAGAAACTCATTTGCTTCAACGTCAAAGAGCAGAAGAGTAAAGCCCCGAGACCAGGGCAGGGCATTAACTTAGAGTTGAACTGTCAGCCACCTTGTCATTGACTGTAAATTTTGAGAGATTTTCCAATGAATTGCCCAAGCTTTTGACAGGAACAACAACAATACTAGAAACGTAGCCCCACCAGAAAGTCAGCCATCCACCCATTGTTAGCACTGATAACTGTGGTCTGTGTGGAACAAATTCTTCAACGCGCATCGCCATCGCCGCGATAAGACAATAGCTGTCGAATACTCTACCATTGAGCGCCATGGGCGAGAAGTGGTAGCAATAGATGCCTATATAAAGTAGCGACAGTTGGTTGTACAACTCAATAGACGCCCCGTGCCAGAAGCCAACGGAACGGAGCCGACAAAATGCTTAAGTCTTTCGCTTTCCTGCTGCTGCTGTGCGGCACTGCCTTGGCAGCCGACAGCTACGATGGGTGAGTAAGATGGGAGGGAGGATGGACTGGTGTAGTACCAGATGAGTGACGGTAGCGGATCATCCATAGTTACAAGATCTACGACATCAATACGCGCACCGTGTTCGAGAAGGAGCTGCTGCTGCGCCTGTCCCGAAATGCGGACTTGGATTTCTTCGACTTGCCACGCTCTCTGGAGGCTGCCAGCCGCGTGATGGTGCAGCCAAAGGACCAGGTCGGCTTCGAGCAGCTGCTGCAGAAGTTCGGCGTTGAGTACTCAGTGGTCGACGAGGATCTGGGCGTGTCCCTCAGGCAGGAGCAGTTGGAGAACCAGAGCCAGCGTCTCATGGCCCAGCGTTCTACCGCGCGCAGCATTAGCTTCTCGGCCTTCCACCGCCACTCCGAGATCAATGCCTATCTGGACGAGCTCGCCGCGGCCTATCCCAGCCGTGTGTCCGTCCAGGTGGCCGGCAAGTCGTACGAGAACCGCGACATCAAGACGATCACCATCAGCAACGGCGATGGCAAGACCGGCAAGAGCGTGATCTTCCTGGATGCCGGCATCCATGCCCGTGAGTGGATCGCCCACGCCGGTGCTCTGTACGTGATCCACCAGCTGGTGGAGAACTTTGCCGCCAACTCGGCTCTCCTGAAGAACTACGACTGGGTCATCCTTCCAGTGGTGAATCCCGATGGCTACGAGTACACTCACACCAGCACCCGCATGTGGCGCAAGACCCGCAAGCCCGCTAGCGCTTCCTGCTACGGCACCGATGCCAACCGCAACTTCGATTACCACTGGGGCGAGGTGGGCGCCTCGAGCTACTCCTGTGACGACACCTTCAAGGGACAGACCGCCTTCTCCGAGCCGGAGACACAACTGGTGCGCGATCTGTTGCTCAACCTGAAGGGTCGTGGCAAGTTTTATCTTACCCTCCACTCGTACGGCAACTATCTGCTCTATCCCTATGGCTGGACCTCGTAAGTGATGGCGTGAGAGATCAGCTCGCCGCAAATTAAATTAAACCGCATCCCCATTTTCTCTAGCGCTCTGCCCGCCAGCTGGCGCGACATCGATAATGTGGCCCAGGCTGGAGCAGCCGCCATCAAGGCTTCCACTGGAACCAAGTACACTGTGGGCAGCTCCACCAATGTCCTGTACGCTGCTGCTGGCGGCAGTGATGACTACGCCTTCGCGGTGGCCGAGTTCCCCATCTCCATCACCATGGAGCTGCCTGCTGGCGGCACCGGCTTCAATCCCACCACTGCCCAGATCCTGCCCTACGTCGACGAGACCTGGACGGGCATCAAGGCCATGGCCCAAAAGGTCGTCGAAAACTACTAAACGAGAGCAATAAAACGCCCGCCGATATTCCCCAATCCCCCTACTCACTTTCGGGCCTCATTTCGAATTCCGTTTCCGTCCCAGGGGCGCCCCACTGGGCGATTGGGAGTTGTTCGGGCGTGTCGCGCTCGAGTTGTGGCATTGACACACAGGCTTTATTTGAGGTGAGCCACTCGACTCTAGCCGCAGCTATCGCAGCTGTCTGCTAATTGAGATCATGGAGTGCCCTCCTAAGTCAAGTGGCATAGCCTCCCGTTCTGCCGTAGTGGCTTGGCTTATCAAAGTTCCTCAAAAATGGACAAATTAACCCTCACGATCAGCTCTGATGGCTATCACTGGAAATAGAATAGATATTGGTGGCATAGATTCCAGATAGTGGCCGATAAGGGGTAGCATAGCAATAACATGGCTATCTGGGGCTAACTGGGAATGTCCGCAAGGTATGAAGTTCTAGTATTTTATCGACCCAGATCTGATATTGCTGCAGCTTTTATTATGGTTATATCTGATAACCTGAAACTATTCCTAAATGAATTTATTATTGAGAGCATGTTCAGAGCATTATGCCAGCGGATACTTTTGAACCACCTTGCGAGCCATGGCCGCAATACCAACCCAGGTCTCCTTGACCATCTGATCGATGGCTGAGGCTGGTGGATCGAAGCCAGTGCCGCCGGGCGGCAGTTCCATGGTGAACGATATGGGGAAGCCTGCATTGAAGGCATAATCATCGCTGGCCCCAGCAGCCACGTAAAGAACGTTGGTGGACGAACCGATTTCGTAGAGAGTGCCCGTGGCCTCGAGAATGGCATCGAAGCCTGCCTTGGCCACCTCGTGCAGATCATCAACAGTGTCCGGCAGGTCCCTATGAAGAACAGAAAATTAAGATATGCTAAGACTGCAACCGGAGATGAACTTACGAGCTCCAGCCCCATGGGTAGAGGATGTAGGGTCCATAGGAATGCAGGGTGAGATACATTTTGCCGCGATCGGCATAGCTGTGGATGAGGTCGCTCACCACCACGGCCTCCGGCTCCGAGAACGCCTTCGAACCGGCGTAGGTCTGGTCGCAGGGATCCTCGGAGGCTCCCTCCTCGTTCCAGTGGAAGTCAAAGTTGCGGTTTGGATCCGTGCCAATGCAGTCGGGGCTGCTCGGCTTGCGTGTCTTGCGCCACATGCGCGTTTCCTCCGACAGCTGGGTATACTCATAGCCATCCGGGTTGACCACGGGCAAGATGACCCAGTCATAGTCCATCAGCAGATCGGCATTGTCGGCCAGATTGTTCACAAGCTCATCGATCAGGTACACGACAGCAGCGGGAGAGATCCACTCACGAGCATGGAACCCGCCATCCACAAAGATGACGTTCTTGTTTCGGCGACCATCCCCGTTCGTGATCGTGACAGTCTTCATGAGACGCCTCTCGTAGCTCTTGCCCACGGTCTTGACGAACACGCGGCGAGGATGCTCCTCGGCCAAGTCCTCAATGAACTGGTTGATCTCTCCGTGACTGTAAAACCGCTCCGTGCCCAGTCGCCCGTTGCCTGTGTAGGGGAACCTGTTGCGCAGAATGCGATTCCTAGCAAACTGTCGTCGCAGAGTGAAACCCACGTTGTTGTTAAGGACCTTATAGCTCAAGGAGTGTCCGTCCATGAGCTGGACGAAGTTCACCTGCTCCTCGGGATGGACCATGATGCGTGCCGGCTGACTGCCGCTCGAAAACACCTCATAGTACGATTCATTCTTGGCTAACTCAGACAGGGCCTGATCCATCGCAGCCGTACGGGCTTTCGTTTGGACCTCATAGATCTTGAACCTAAACGAATCTGTAAAGTTTTAGGATATCCATGAGAATGAAGAGTGTTCTTCGAGTGTCCTACCCTTCGTATTTGTTGGACTGGACCTCCGTCAGGCCCAAGCAGCTGAGAGCGAGTACAATCCACAAAACGCCCATCTTTCCACGTCGCAAGTCCGCGGAGAAATAAAATTCTGAGCTTCATATCGCCAGAGTATACGTACGGCCTGGCATACTGGTATATTGAATCGTTATCATTGCCTAATCAACGAGAAAGGTTTCAAATCAGGAAAAAATAACTTTATGAGAGATGATGATTGTTAACAATAAAATGAACAGAACATTGTTAATGTGTTATCGAATGCACTGAGAAATATTACCCGAAATACACGAATTGGTTTGACGAGTCCCCCTTTAAAGTCTTTATAGGCGAAAATTGATACTACCAGCTACCAGGCGCAGCGTGGCAGCATGTTTCCGTGTCACTAATATAATCAGAATTTTGCACATTATTACAGAACACATAACGCTTCGAAAATGTTGCATTCAACAACACCCACCGCTACGAATGCTGCCAAACTACTGCTGACCCGTTTAAACAGGCCTTCATGTAGTTAACATCGAGCTGACATGTAGATAACTTTCAGACTTCATAGAGGTTTCACAATGTAGAATGTAGAAAGTAAAATGTACGAGCTACATATGCATGTTCGTTCGTGTCTGTTCAGGTCCGTTAATATCCATTCCAGTCCAGTCCCGTCTTTTCCGTTTCTCTGTGATCGGTTTGCTAAAATTTTGATAACATTTGTATATATTTTATTCAGCAAATAAAAAAAAAATGGTATCCAAAACTGATGGACTTCTAGTAAATCTCGATGAGCTTCTCGGCCATGGCACGAATGCCGATCCAAGTCTCGGTCACGAACTCGTCGATGCGCGTGACTGGGGGATTGAAGCCGATGCTGCCAGCGCCCGTCAGCTCCATGGTGATGGAGATGTTGAAGCCCGCATAGAAACCGTAATCGTCGCTGGCCCCGGCTGCAATGTACAGGACATTGGTGGAGGAGCCATAGGTGTAGACGGTTCCCGTGGTGGCCTCAATGGCCTCGGCGCCAGTCCGGGCCACTGCATCCAGATCCTCCCAGGTGTCGGGCAAGTCGCTGGAAGATCAACTTTTAAGACTAGGCCATAAGAGGCTAGAATTCGATACCCACCTGGTCCAGCCCCAAGGGTAGAGGATATAATTGCCATAGGAGTGGATGGTCAGGTACATGACGCCGCGATCCGCCAGCGAGTGCATCAGATCTCGGACCACGATGGTCTCGGGTTCGGAGAATGGCGTTGGACCGGCATACGTGTCGGCACAGGGGTTGGAGGAGGCACCCTCCTCGTTCCAATGGAAACCAAAGTTGCGGTTGGGATCGGCCCCATAGCAGGTCTGTCCGGCGTAAGTGTACGGCTGGCGGGTCTTGCGCCACATACGGGACAGGGTGCTGCTCTGGGAGTGCTCATAGCCATCAGCATTGACCAGGGGTAAGATAACCCAGTCGTAGTCTTCCAGGAGATCTGCGTTCTGCTCAAACTGCTCCACCAGCTGATCAATCACGTACAACACCGCCGCCGGGGATATCCACTCGCGGGCATGGAAGCCACCGTCCATGAAGATCACCTTCTTGCCAGAGCGCCCATCCCCGTTGGTGATGGTGATGGTCTTGAGCACACGCCTTTCAAAGGACCAGCCCACGGTCTTCACGAACACGCGCTTGGGGAAGCGATCGGCCAGATCGTCGATGTAGTTAATGATCTCCTCGTGGGTGTAGTAGCGCTCCGTGCTCAGGCGACCCTTGCCCGTGATAGGGCTGAGGCGGCGCTGCAGTTGGCGCAAAGCAAACTCCTCGGCTATTGAGGCGCCCAGGTTGTCATTGACGAGGGTGTGGGCCAGCTTCTGGCCTCGGAGCACCGTCTCAAAGGTCTCCAGCTGAGCGGGACTGACGATTACCCGCGATGGCCTACCCGGCAGACGGCTCTCGCTAAGAAAGTCGAATCCCTCCAGACTGAGCTGGTGCAGGAGTTTTCCTTGGACAGCATTTTGTGGTGTCACTTCGTAGATGCGGTAGCTATAAGGATCTCCATCGATTACCAACCAGTGGACACAGATCCATTCTTTCCTTACCCTTCATAGCCTTGATCGGCGGCCACCAGAGCCAAACCTCCCAGCAAGAGAGCAAGCAGACCCAAGAGGTTCGTCATCTTCATGTAACTAAGCGACTAAGCGACCGCGTGCCCTGCATCTGCCACTTAAATACCCGCCCGCCAGAGCCAACCGTCTCCCTATCTAATCGGTTTGCACATCAATAAATAATAGAAAGCTCGTCCGATCGCACACACAGATCAGAACTGGCGCAATTCGACTTTAATATCTCTTTATTTACGATCTTCAAACTATGATGGGTAGCGCCTTATCACCTCCGCGGCCATGGCACGCACGCCCACCCAACTTTCCGTGACCAGGCCCTCGATGTGCGAGACCCAGGGATCGAAGCCGGAGAATCCGCCGGCAGGCAGCTCCATGGTCATGGCCACTGTAGCATTGGCCACGCCCAGTGCGTAGTCCGCCGTATCGCCCGAGGTGGGATACAGGACATAGTAGGTGCTGCCATAACTATAGATGCCGTTGGTGGAATGGACAATCGCGAAGGCTCCGGCTTCGGCCACGTCCATCATGTCCTGATAGTTCTCAGGTAAATTGCTAGAAAGGAATAAGAAGGATAATATAATAATAGCAATATAACTACTACTATACTACTACTATAATATAATACTCCATTTACTCCAATGTAGGCCACATCTTTGTTTCTTATTGCAATAAAAGGTGAGGAGTGTCCAACGGTTTTCTAATATTCATATGATTCATATGTATTCATTATCTCGACATGTCCCATAAATCCCATGTGTGCTCTAACACATTGTAACCAGGGAATGTTGTATTACGTAGTCTTGAGGCAACCCAGGGGTCTTTATAAAGAGAGTATATCCTTTATTGTTGTTGTTCCTAATTGTTGCAGCACTCGGCTTCTCTGCGATTCCCAATCGACTTGGAGCTGCTCTTCAGACGGAGGACTATTACAGTGAGGGTATCCTGAACATACGGCAATCAAGTGACGGTAAACGGTAAATAGAAACTTCCGTTTAGGATGGGATGAGGAATCTTGGTACGAGGACTCGTATTCTGGTCATGAACCTTTTCCAGAGGGATCTTATCAAGAATATCTGTTTGAATCCGTAAATCTGGTGCTGAGATTCAACTTTTAGCGCGGCGTTCTACCTTAAAATGCTAATGCATTTTACTTACTTCGTGTATCCCCAGGGCAAAAGGAAATAGTTGCCGTAGGAGTGGAGCGACAGATACCACTTGAGACGCGGGCTGTATTGCAGGAGAATATCCCGCAGAACCTGCGACTCGGGCTGATCGAAGGGACGCTCGCCACGGTAGATATCCTCGCAGGGATCAGACGAAGAGCCCGCATCGTGTCCCCATTCGTGGGCAAAGTTTCGATTGATATCCGTGCCCACACAATCCGGATCGGTGGTGGGCTTCCGTGTCTTGCGCCAGTAGCGCGACTCCGAGTGGGTGTACTCGTACCCATCCGCATTGACCACGGGCATAATGACCCAGTCGTAGTCCTGCAACAGACCCTGATTCTCCTCATAGTTGTCTAGAAGCTGCTGGATAATGTACAGGGCCATCGAGGGTGAGATCCACTCGCGCGCATGGACAGTGCCATCGATGAGGATCACCGGCTTATTTCGACGTCCATCCCCGTTGCTGATCGTCAGCACTTTGAGGGGACGACGCTCGTAGCTCCATCCAAACTGCTTGACCTGGGCCCTCTTGGGATACCGCTCGGGCAGGCTGTCCAGATAGGCATTGATCTCGGCGTGGGTGTAGAAGGCCGCCAGCACATCGATGTGGGGCAGTTGGAGGCGCTGCTTGCTGCGCAGATTCTCCGCACGTTGGGCCTGCACCAGTGGAGACAGATCCTTGATCAGCAGTCGATATCTCAGTTGGTGGCTTTCGAAGAGACTGACCAAACTGGAGGCTTCCTCGGGGGGCAGCATGACCCGAACCGTGCTCTCGTTGTGCCAGCGAATGGGACCAAGAAAATCCCATTGCGGCTTCTCCCTGGCCAACTTTCGCAGTAGACTCTCTTCGCTGCTATCTCGCGGTGTCAGCTCATAGACCTGGTAGTCCTTGTAGTCCTGCCAGGCGAGCAGTACACTGGACTGCAGCAACAGCAGAAAAATTATATGTCCAATCAATGTCATCGCTGCCTGATTACTCGATATTCACTGAGCTACCAAATGTTAACCGAACTGATCGTATTATCAAAGTTTATCATTTTATTGGAGACATACTGCCGACTTCCAACGATACCAGCGCGACATCGTTTATATGCTTCCGTTTATGGCTTAAAGAAAATAACCCCCTTTTGGCCGGCAGGGATGGAGAATAGCTAGTCACTGGAACAACCGGCTGAACAGCGAATAAAAGTAAAGCTATTGCCTGTTTAAGACCATGGAGCACCAGGTGCACCGCCGAATACAGGTGCGTCTTCGGAATTTTAGCTGAGAGAAAAGATAAAAGTGTACATATAATCCTTTAAAAAAAAGTTTAAACTACTTAGATAAGAAATTTCCGTGAACCCCTGAGGCCTTTAAGACACTGCTGGATGTTTGAGAGGAAGGACTCCCAGAAAATCCACAAAGGAACGGCTGAAAATAATAAATATGTGTCAGCATCAGGCCTCATCCGTCCATTTTCCTGTCGTTTTGTTAATTTCCCAAAATTTGGTTGGGAATGGTTCTTATGTTCGCAATAACCTGCCTCTACCAGTGTAAGCGACTATTCTGCGTCGTGTTGTCTCTTGCTTCTTGTCTCTATTTATTATTCAGTCATTCAACGTTGACGGGAATACTCCTGTTGTTTACCGATTTTCAACTGCTAGAAGTCAATTATCGATTAATAATTGAATGCTAGCTATGTACATCGAATTTTTTCAATTTATTTCTCCATCTATTCTCAGCATTTCCTTTAGCAATTCAGTTATAATATTCATCTCTTTAATGCTTAATCCCTAATTAGTATAGTTAACAAACAATTAAATTCAATTTGCTTAAACAGTTTACAGATACGGACACAACGGCAAGGCACTTCTAGTACAGACTAACATGCCGAATGAACTCAACGAAGCCGGCAAACGTCTCCTTGCAGACGTGTATGATGTCGGAGGATGGCACATGGAACTCATCGCCGGGCAGCTCGAGCGTGTAGGACAGTGGTATGCCCAGGCTGCCGTAGGCAAAGTCATCCAAGCTGCCGGAAGCCTCGTATAGAATCGAGGCAGAGGTGCCGGTGGTGTAGCGGGTGCCACGGTACTTTCCGATTTGGTTGGCGGCTCTCAGGGCCACCGAGCGTAGCGTTCCCACGGTGGGGGGCACGGTGTTTCTGTGTGGAGGGAGGATGCGAATTTAAATGGAATACAGTGGCAGAAATATTCGGATTTAATTGCTTTTAGCAAATAATTGAAAAGTAAATTGAATTTCTTTTCGGTCCATGTCTGGACACCCCCTGGACACGACCCCTGGATACTCACTTCGCATAGCCGTAGGGATAAAAAATGAATTTGCCAAATGAGTGAACATCCAGGCTGAGTTTCACACGATTCCGATTGAATTCCAAATAGCGCACCACGGCCGACGTTTCCGGCTCAGAGTTGGGGGCCGTGCCCGAGTACACCTCCGAACAGAGCTGTTGTTTGGGCGGAAAGAGTGAGACGGATTAAGTCGGAAGGTCAATGTCGGTGCAACAAGTCGCCTACGTTCTGACTGGCGCCCTGGTAGTTCCAATGGTTGCCAAAGTTCCGATTGATGTCCACTCCTGAGCAGGCATGGCCGGCATACCGATGACGGTTCTTCCGCCAGAAGCGATCCTGAAAGAATTCATCGAATAACGTATAGAGTATAGAGTAGGGGCAATCCACTCCGTATCTTCCTCCACCTACCGATGTGTGCGTGTACTCATAGCCATCGGGATTGACCAGCGGCACCAGGAACACCTCCACATCCTGCAGCACCCTCTGGAAGGCACGCAGATTGCTCAACAGCTCGTAGGCCAGATACAGCACCGTCTGTGTGGTGATCCATTCCCTGCCATGGGCCGCCGCCTGGATGTAAGCCACACGGCGCGATCGCGTCCTGGCGTTCAGCGAAATCGAGAGCGCGGCAATGTGGCGGCCCTCGTTGGAGCGCCCCAGCGACTCGTAGCGACAGTACTGGGGATAGCGTGAGGCCAGGCCGCTCATGAAGCTGAGGATCTCGTTGTAGCGCGGATAGTGAGAGAAGAAGCCACGCGCCTGACGACGTGACCGACGACGTGGTCGTTGCGACTCCCCACAGTCGGCCTCCTGGCACTCCTCGTACTCCCCATCCTCGTCCGCATAGGTGCTGTTGGCCTGCAGGGCGGCCATTAGCTCCATCAGCGGCTGCACCTGATAGCTGACGCCCAGATTGGAGAGACGCGACTCGAACTGCGACTTGCGTGTGGGACCCACTGTCAGCACGGACGTGTTGCGGGTGAGCAGCCAGAAGTCCAGATCCGCATCGTTCGTCTGCAGGTCGACCATATAGCGGAAGGCGTTCTCATTGCCATGTTCCACAGTGTATTTCGTATAGCTAAAAGAAGAGTTTAACCATTAAAAAACATCCCTAACTAGCATCTAGTTTATTCAGATATCCCAAGGAGACATTCAGCGACTGGAAGTTCGAGTCTGATACTATTAGAACTCGTACACAGCATCGATTACTTTATTATCCCCTCTCTGTTGCAGACCATGATAATAAGGCGACCCGACTCCCGACCCAACACTGTGCTCGTCGGGGGGTGGGTGGGAAATCCCGATGATTGCTCCACATGTATCTCTAGCTAATTGGACAACAAATTAATTTACGGCCCTCGCTCTCGCCCTCGCAGCGGCGTCAAAGTGAGTTGTTGATTCATAAATTTATGCAAAGCGGATCGGCTCGGCCGTCTCTCCTCCCATCGTATTTGTTGGCGTTTTGCCACCTCTCACGAATTTGTGGCCAATTTATCATTTCGTTAAATTCCACACAACGGAATAGGCGGACCACGGACCACGGACTGCCGACTACGGACTAGAAATAATGAAGCAACAGGCAGCAATGGCAATGCCAAACAAGCAACGTCTTTAGGTCCATGCATATTCATCTCTCCCCTGCACCTGTGGATGACATGACAAAGACACGGCACCGAAAAGCGAATCACGTGCGGCCGCCGACAGCGGAATTCAATGATAATTTAATTAAGACCCCCCCTGGATTATCATTTTTCATTTTTACATAAAGATACGGTTTACCATCTATGAATTTGTTAGTTTTCCCAAACAAATTGTAAACCAAATGAGGAGCCATTGTTGATCGGAAGGCCTTGTGGAAATGTATATACCCACTATTTATGTATATCTCTGAATGTTTAGCATCTACTTTGGGTGTTGAAACCCAAACCCCTCTAGACGGGGACCAAGAGAGCTGCAGCAGGAAGCAACCAATTGATGATTGCCATTGCCATACGGAATTCGGAATACGGAGTACGGAGTATCTACGTAGTGGGCCACATTGGTGGACTGCGACCGCAAAGTAATCATCCATCATCGTGGAGTACACACCGCATGCTGCTGTGCTGCTGGTGGATTCTGTCTGGTGAACATTTTGCCCCGGCGATAGCTTCGCAATTACAAATCGCGCAAATTATCAATGGAATTGCCGTTTATACGGCTGCTGGCCACTGACCAAAACGACAAAACGTTTAGTGATACTCATAATGACGGCTTCTAATCGCTGCCATCGACCATGGGCCCTGTTTGAGTAGTGGCTGTCGTTACTCATTGAAGAAATAAAGGTGGGTATAAAGTACATAGCATTCATGGAACTATAGAGCTTTAATTTATAATTAGAAATTAGTTTTTTTACCCATAAAATACCCATGGGATTTACTTTCATTTTAGTAATCTGTTCCGAACTATAGAAAAGGGAGTTACAGAACAAAATTCAAATCAACTACGAGTATTCCTTGAAATAGAAAATCAAATTTCTTTATAGAAACAAACTGTCAAATATCCTGAGCTGATTCCAGGTGGCATATCATTTTTCAATCCAAATAAGAGATAGGAGTTTTAACAATGCCGAATCCGATTCAAAAATTGTTCCAATTGATCTATAAGATCTTTCGCTATCTGTGGCTAGCATCCGTACTGATGATACCGTATATGGCCCTGAAATTGAAGACGTGCGAGGCCAGCAAACTGGACAACTACGTAATGCTTGGATGCCTAGCACTGGGCGTCATCCAGTTGATAGAGACCCAACGCTTCCGACGACATTAGGACGTGGGAGCTGGAGGGTAAGTTTAAGGGGCAGGGCAGGGCCTCGGTGCGAAGATGTGAAACCCGTTTTTAAGACGATGCGACCAACTACTAGTCGAGGTCCATTATATGTTAAACACTTTAAAAAAATTTTGGCAAACCACAACAAAAAAAAAGTCAATTAACGACTGGCCCTAAGGACGGGCTTGCTTGATTGATGGGTACTACATTTTCAGATTATTTTTGCTTGCTTTTACTTGTTTCTTGTTTGTGTTGTTGTTGTTTTGCTTGGTATTATAATTAATTCGTGTATCTTTTATCATTACCCTTCATAGCCGGCCAGATTGTTGGCGAGACTGGTGCCCGCCAATCCGACCAGACATAGCGTCAAGCTGCACACGATCCGCTGCCACATTTTTGCACTACTCGAACTACCAACTGGCCTCCGATTATGTCTATATCTATGTGTATATGTTTATATGCGCCACGATCTTTTGTTTAATCGTCTGGCCAATTATGTATTAAAATATGCAGTTGCATGGACAAGCACACGCTTTTATTTTCTTTAATTTTATTCACTTGTATTTGTATTTGTATTTGTATTGTTTTATTTGCCGTTTTGCCGCTTTGCACGCTGCACTTGATGCACGATTATGCAACGAATGCGAAGAGTACACACAAACTTTTTAGTTACGATAACTAGTTAATCATTTCTTTGGCTGGACATGGGCTTGTGTGGGCTAAGAGGCGCGATCCGTGCGTTCCATCTCCGGTTCGGGCGAAGACTGACGGGCAGCTTGAAATGCGGCCGAGAAAGAAGACGATGCTGGCCAAAAAATATCGCCGAAAACCGAAGCCGAAAAATGGTTTCGGAGCCGCGCTTATTGTTTAGAAAAGTGAGTGTCAAGGTCAGGGCTCTACCACGACCAGTTTCCGAGATCCAAACAGATCGGAGCTTCGAACGCGTCACGAGACAAGCTGCGGGAAGGCAACCCGACAACCCGACAACCCAACAACCCGTCAACCCTATGGCTATTCTAAGAGAAACGCGGCACGCGTCTTGTCTATATATATTTCCGATTAGAACTTATGGGGGTTGGGGGATATTGACTCTTTTGGGTCTTTTAGGTGTATGCTAATTCCTTGGTTGCGAACTTTTTCTTTTCTTTAATTGCGTGCGATAATTTGTTTGTTTTATTGGTTTGTCGCAGATCGAAAATCGAAGATTGGAAACTTGTTTTCTATAATTTGATCACTTTGACTGACGCACAGCAACAATTTCTGTTCTTTCGGTTCTTTATTTGTGGATATTTTTTGCATCCGCATGTGGCGGTTCGTGAATCGATTCTGAAGCCGTTGCTTGTTTATATTCTGGTTTTTATAGAGGAACTCGTATTGGCTTCCTAATGTCAAGCCGCTGATGGTGGTGATGGGGCAAGTATGGGTGTTCTATGAATTCCATTTGAAAGTTAAAGATGTGATGGGCAGACACTTGGGCACTGAACTTTCCAATTAAACAAGGTCGTACCATCGAAAAAAAGGCGGAAGCCCATGTCTGGTTACAGTTCATCCCATTATCCAAATGGAGTTCATTAAATCATCGAGAGCTTTTCAACGTCACGATCATGATCGTCTTAGGACAGACAGAAGGCAGGTCACTCAACGCCATCAGCCATCAACCATCAGCCATCATCAATACATCTTCAAATCAATGGTGCTGATCGCCGGTGATGTCTTGACTTTGCTTTCGATTTCGCTTTTGTGTGTAATTATAACACTTGGCCATAGCTTGGGGCACTTCCGCACTTCGGATCGTTCGAAGACCAACAGAGATCGGACCTGCACTCTGGGAGATCGTCGAGGGAGCAGATGATGAACAAATGAGCCGCCGTGCAGATCCATTGCCAGATCCATATTTCCGGTGAAACTCGAAACTAGTTTATCCGATTTAATTTACATTTAAAATTTGTCCAGCTGCTTAAGCTTAATGACTATGCGACTGGCTTAATGCCGGTTCTTGATTTGTGTTCTAAATCATTTAAATTTATTTATTAGCCAAGAGCCAGACAGCTTCCAGAGCCAGAGCCAGAGCCAGCGGCACAGGGCATTCAACTTTCCTTGCACGCGGCAAATTCAAAAATTCAATTAAAAATTCGCTATCTTGGCTCAGACATCGCGCTTTAGCTCTGTTTTTTGCGTATTGTCTATTGTATACTGTATATAAGGAAAGATCTACTATTTTGTGTGTTATATTGTTTTGCTTTCAAGGCATATGGCTTTGAATGGCGAGAGAGATTTGCATCTGAAAAACCTCAGTGGACAAAAGATGCGTGCGGCCTTAACCATGAACATGAAATCTCTATGGTATGTATGATATCGTATCGGTACACTGCCTTAGTTTTAATGGGGTGTTTATTGGCTTGGGATGGGATCTACTCGGACTACTCGTATCGGACCATTTACTCTAATCAAAAACTATGCCAAATTGCATAAACAAAAGTTAAATTGCCCTGCCGCATGACAAATAACTCGGGGATTGCCCATTGCCCCTTGTTTTGGGGGCAGGTCCAGGCGAAACTTTCAACCAATCTGAAATTCGTTTGGGCATAATTGTTTGGAGTTTTGTTCGTTAATTTGTAAACCATTTTATGGTACATTACTCGTACAGTTCGTCATTCCAAACAGGAGACAGCCATCAGGGCAGCAGGGGCCAAAAGAGCGGCAAAAATAACGAAAAAATTTAACAAAACTTTGGGCCCTTTATATTTGCCAACATGCTAATGACATAATGTGCATACTTCAGAAGGGGTTCCACCGAGGACCAACTGACTGAGTGACTGACTGGGAAAGGACTTCCTTCTGCCCGGGCCTTTGCGTGTCTATGGCATGGCAATACAGAAGGAAATTCTGGGGGAATATGCATAAACAGATTGGTGGATGGAAGACTACAGGATATCCTGTTTTTAAAATGAGACTTACGGTCTCCTCTTATTACAATGGACTCTACTTTTTTTCTCTTCAATTCTTCCATGAGTCCTTTTTATTGTATTAGATCCAGAAATGTTGAAAGAATGACTCAATGCCTCCACTCAGCAGGTTCAATATTTGGTTAGAGGGTATCCCTGTAGAGAAAGCAGTAACAATGCATTATGTAGACATAGCCAGATGTAAATATATGGCAGTCACTGTGTCAGGAAGTTGACTAAAAGACCGTTAAATGAAAATCGGCACGAACCCCCTGTTCGGCTTCGGCTTCGGCTTCCCGTATAAATCAACTGGTTGCCCTGACTGTTGCCTATCCTATACCAATTTATACTACATATATATTTGGCTATATACATACGAGTATATATGTACATATGTACAGCGACCTGCCGCGCACTTTTGACTTTTGCGTTGACATGACATTTGCCAGGCAATGAAAATATATTACACTATGCAACAAGTTGATGGTGCTACAGAAAATACGGAGAGATAGAGAGATCCCCAGTTTACAAAAAGTATGACTATATTTCCTGTAACCGATTCTTCTTTGGGACAAAGATGATCGGAATGGAAGAAAAAGGTTATGAATATCCATTTCATTCCATACCCTGTGGAGCAGTGTAAATCAGAGGCAGGAGAAGCACAAATCTTCAAATGGTTTCCCCTGTAAAACGCTTAAAAGGACTACGACTACGACTACGAGTAGGACTTGAACTGCTCCTCGTTTCACAGGCCGCACGCCAGGCACAGGCTCTGGGAACGAACCCGTGGGGCCATGCGGGAGCTTGTTCCCTGGTTATTTGCATGGAAGCGTGCCCTGCCCTTTTGGACTCCCACGCCCACGCCCACGCCTACGCCCAGGAGTCACGTCAGGCCGCCCCCCTCTCCGGCTGTCTGACATTTAGCATATTTGCGTTTTGTGGCAGCAAAAGCAGAAGCAGGAACAGAAGCAGTAACAGGCACAGGAGCAGTTGCAGCCAGGAAAAAAAAAGGGATGGATCCCCAGTATGGGAATCCAAATCCAATTCCGCATTACATGCTACCCGTGTGCCCCAACTTATTAAACGTTGTCGCTGTCCCATTTACCCAATGCGAGGGCTCCATCCCGTCTCCCCCCCCCGTCCGTCCGTCAGAGGTTGTGTGCCAGTTCCAGTCCAGGCACAAAACTCCGGCTGCCAGTGGCCACGGACCGCACAATGGAAGACAATCCCAAGCAGAGAGCACGGCTCGCCCTGCTCGTTGTCGAGCGGCTGGAGCTGAACATCAAAAACCAGGTGAAAAGTAGGCCTAGCCTTTGAGTGTAGATCCTTCACTGCCCTGCCCCTCTGACCGACCGTGCTGGGAGTTCAGTTTTCTTTCCGATCCCCCGTGCGACACAACACAAACCTAAAATTCTCGAGTGAAAATAATATTTTTTAATTTTTTCAAATTTCCCTTTTTTGTTTTGTTTCTCAATTTGCGCCTAAAATGCTGGCCACTAAATCGAAACGCGCCGTGAAGCCGTCCAAGGGAAAGACCGCTGTGCCGCCCCAGTGGGAGGCACCGATAGCCCCGCCCCGCCGCGTCATCATACCGCGTCCGGATGTGCTGCACAATTATCTGGATCACAAGCAGATCTGTCAGTACATGGATTACCTGACCAATCGGTATCCGCACTTTGTGAGGACCTACACCCTGGGCCTGACCCACGAGCGACGCGAGGTTCGGGCCCTGGAGATCAACTGGATGAACTCGGCGAATGTGGAGCTGTCGCCGCAGCTGCGCCAGCACTCGCCGCCGCCGGTGGAGATGCTGCAGAACAGCAAGACCCCGTATCCAGTCGTCGTCAAGGGTGACCAGTGCCGCAACACGATCTTCATCGAGGCCGGGACCCATGCCCGCGAATGGATCGGCGTGACCACGGCCCTCAATTGCATCTACCAGCTGACGGAGCGGCACACGCGCAACATCGAGGTGCTGCGCAAGCTGCGCTTCATCGTTGTGCCGCTAGTGAATCCCGATGGCTATGAGTACTCGCGCACCAAGGTTTGTGCAACGAAGGGTACTCCCACCCGCGCCCACTCAGTCTTAATCCTCGAATTGTTTCCATAGAATCCCAATTGGCGCAAGAACCGGCGACCCCACAAGTCCACCAAATTCGTGGGCACAGACTGCAATCGCAACTACGACATCTACTGGAACAGTGGCTCCAGCAAGGTGAACCGCAACACATACAAGGGCGAACGGCCCTTCTCCGAGCCGGAGACGCGGGCCATGCGCAACATGCTGGACCGCCTGGGGCCGAATCTGCTGTTCTTCCTCTCGCTCCACTCGTACGGCCAGAGCATCATGTACCCGTGGGGCTACAGTCGGGACCAGCCGCTCTTCTGGCGTGAGCTGAACTCCCTGGCCAATTCGGGAAAGTGCGCCATCAAGTCCTACAACGGACGCGAATACCGCATCGGCAGCATAAGCTGTCTCACGAAGCGCACGATCGCCGGCTCCGTGGTCGACTATGTGTACGGGGTGCTGCGCGTGCCCATGGCTCTGGTCATGGAGCTGCCGTCGCGGGACCTCGGCTTCCAGCCACCCGTCGAGATGGTCAGCCAGATTGGCCACGAGAGCTGGTACGGCATCCGGGAGATGTGCAAGCGAGCCTACGATCTGCGCCATCAGATCAAGCGCGAGACGGAGCCATCGCTGCCAGCCCCATCCAGGTACCAGGCAGGAGCCGGCGATGGTGCCGAAGGCGAGGCTGCTGCCATCGATACCAAACCAGTACCGGCCAAGGAAGGCCAAGGCACTGCGGGCGGCGACAATGCCGAGAAGAAGACCACGCCCAAGAAGACCAAGAAGCGAATGAAGCGATCGGTGCGTGCCCAGCACGAGGCCATCGTTAAGCTGCAGAAGAAAACAACGGGCGGACCAGGCCTGCTCCGAGCCGGACTGTACCCCCGACAAATGCCCAAAGTAGCTTCCGCTCCTCCAGTACGTACTCGTGGCGGCCATGGCGATGGACCCATCCCACTGCTGACCAGCCGCAGCAAGCCCCCAGCCTCCTCCCGCATGCCTCTGGGCGTCTTTCTGTAGATTTTTGTTGTCTAATTGTCCCCTGCGCTAGTTAAAAAATTAAATGTGTTGGCCAACGTCCACTGGGATGGATGGTTTGGTTTCCCAGGTTATACCTTTGGATTGGGCTTTTAATTAGTTTTGTCTGAATAATCAATCGTTTGAATGGGATGTGTGGGTCGTAACAAATTCGTTTCTTTACAGAAATTCTTTGCCTTTCTCTTAATATTGATTGGGTTTTTGTGGGGGTGGGGGTTTTTGTTTAACGACTAATGCAACAAATATATTCTTGTTGAGATTTACTTAGCATCGAACGCTGGCAGCCGAGGTGCGGCATACTTCTGGCGCAGTTTTTCGTACACTTTGCGATCCTGCAAATGGAAAGTTCGAGAATTAGGCCGTGCCTGAGGTTTGTTGCCGGGCGCCTGTCTTACCTGCTCACTGACTGAGGGACGTAGCTGCTGCAAGGCATCCTTGAAGTGCTGACGGCGCACACACAAGCCGTCCAGGTTGTCATCGTCCTCAGCCAGGGCCTGGCGCAAGGCATACATGGAGGCCTGCTTGACCAGCCCAGCCAAATCGGCACCGGTATAGCCCTCGGTTTGTGCAGCCAAATCATCTAGATCCACATCGTCGGCCATAACAGGACGCGTTCCATTCTGTGCAGAGTCGGATTAGGCTTTATCGCTCAGCAAAATCGAACTGCTTAAATACGCTCACCTTGGTGCTTGCCTTCAGAATCTCGGCGCGTTCATTCTGCTCGGGCAATCCCACATACAGTATAGTGTCCAAGCGACCAGGACGCAGAATAGCCGGATCGATAATGTCTGGTCTATTGGTCGCAGCCAGAATGTAGACTCCTTTGCGCTCCTCCACGCCATCCATTTCGGTGAGCAGCTGGTTGACAATGCGCGTGCCCGAGTTGTTGCCATCGCCACCCTCGGATCGTTTGGGGCACAGCGAGTCGAACTCATCGAAAAAGATGACGCAGGGAGCCGAGTTGCGAGCCCGTTGGAAGCAGGAGCGCACAGCACGCTCACTCTCGCCAACATACTGCAAGACAGGTAGGACAATTAGTAGGGGAAGGAGCTATCTCCGGTTGGGGGACTCACCATGTTCATCAGCTCTGGGCCCTTCACCGAAATAAAGTTGATGCCCGCCTCGTTGGCTATGGCTTTGGCCAGCAGGGTCTTGCCACAACCAGGTGGACCGCATAGCAGCACGCCAGATGGTGCAGTCAAGCCAAGGCGCTCCAGTTTCTCCGGATACTTGACCGGAGCTAGGACCGCAAGCTTAAGCTCATCGCGTATGTCCTGCAGCGCCCCAATATCCTCCCAGGTGGTGTCTGGCACGGTGATAAATCCTTCGCGCTTGGCCGATGGCTGCATCACTTTAATGGCGGCCATGAAGTCAACTAAAGTGAGACAGAAATTGGGATCGTAGAACTCTTCTGGCGGATTGTCCAGAAAGTTGGTCAGCTCGGCCAGTGTGGGCTCGTAGTAATCATTCTCGTCTGTCAGTAGCTTCTCTTCATTCTCATCCACATCCATGGCAGCGTTTGAAGGTTTGTCAGGCGTCTTTCCGTTGGTAGCTCCTTCGGCACCTTTCTCTGCATTGTCGCTATCGGATTTATTAAGATTCTCCCCGTCCGACTTGTCTTTATCGCTCTTGTCTCCGGATGTCTCCTCCACGTCTTTGGCGCCATCGGCCTTGGCCCCTTCTGCCTTTGCTTCGGCCTTGCCGCCTAAAACAGTCTCGTCATTGGGTTCATCATCGTCCAGCTCGACCGTGGTCATGTTCTTCTCGCTGGCCGCGTGCAGCTCACGGAACTTCTTCATCGACCGGCGCTTGACGGCAACGGCGGCGGAACGGCAGACCAGTGCCATCAAATCGCCGCCCACATAGCCGGGCGTCAGCTCCGCAATCTTGTCGTAGTTGAGCTTCGGGTCGACGGACAGACCCTCGCATTGTATGCGCAAGATCTCCCGTCGCTCCTTGCGCGATGGTATGTGTAAGGCGATTTCATGATCAAGGCGGCCAACGCGACGCAGGCCGGGGTCGATGACATCGGGACGCGTGGTGGCCGCAATAACGATCACAGACTGGCCGAATTCTGTGACCTTCAAGTTATCCATGCTGCTAATCAGCTGTGAGACAATGCGACGCTCCATGTCCTTGGCGGCCCACTGGCGATTGCCACCGATGGCATCAATCTCATCGATGAAGAGCACACAGGGCGAAAAATCCATGGCATGCTCAAAAACGTCGCGTATGCGCTGCTCAGACTCCCCAGAGATGCCACCAATGAGCTCTGTGGCCGGCACTTCCAGCAGGGGCATTTTCAATTGCTGTTTATAAAACGATTTTATGAATAATCGAAATCTTAGGAGGCTGAGGCCAGAAAACCGCTACTTACCCCACTAATGGCACGAGCCAGAAAGGTTTTGCCACATCCCGGAGGACCATGCAACAGCAAACCCCTTGAGGGCAGCAGCCCTAATTGGAAATAGAATTCCGGCGACTTGATGTGTATGAGCATCTCGCAAAGCTCCTTCAGTGTGCTATCCATGCCGCCAATGTCGCGGAAACTTTCAGTTATTTGCTGCAACTCCAGATCCTTTCTGTAATTGCGCGAGCGTCCCGAATGGCGGTCCGATGGGGACTGATTTTGCTGTCGCTGTTGCTTGTAGAGCATCGGCGGATTACGCTGATCTTTGCGTGAGCGGACATCAGAGTGGTTCTTGCCAGTGCCTCCTGAACCTGAATGGACTGAAGGCAAAGTTTGTAACTAATATTTATGGAAAAGAACGCAGAATTACTCACATTTCTGTGCTGGGTCTTTGCCAGGCCCTTGAATGATATTTAGATTTAACTTAGCTACTAATAAAAAAAAGGAACCCGGTTAAATACCACCTATTCCTCGAGTCTATTGTGCTCGCTAAGCTCACCTTTTTTTGGCCCCGGGAGCTTGGTTTCCGGCATATCTCCCATCAGGCGTTTCAGTGAATTGCTGTTGATTACTGGCGGTGGCGGGGCCTGGGGCACTTCGCCGTTTGCGGTAGAGGAGGGCGAATCATCCTCGATTTCATCGCCACTGGATATGTCAATGGGCTCAGGGATCGACTTGGGGGCCTGTGGCTTCGTCTGCTGACTGTACAGGCTATTCATCATGTTGTTCATCAAACTGTTAGTAGGGGGCTCGGACTCCTCGCTTGGGCACTCTTCCTCCGAGCTGCTAACCTTGTCCAAATTATAGCTGTCTGAGATAATGGTAAATGCTGGAAACAAAACAACAAGAAAACAAACATATGGGCCATTAATTGCGACTGCACATGCGAAGCTTCCAAAGCTGCCAGAGCGTGTACCTTGATGCACAAGCTGTCTAAATGGTCCGAACTTGCGACGCGAATACTCTGGATATTTGCTCATCAACTCCTTGGTCATCAATTTCACATCCAGATAGGTCTCGCCAATGTGCTCCTCGAGATACTGCAGTAGAAAACAACAAAAATTAGCAACTCCAATCTGCGACCTAACCTTGTTTCGTCCTCATTTTCGCATTTCTTATTTCGCAGATGCATCTGGCTCCGTTTTGCCGGGTAGCAGCTATCGGGGAAAATGAGATTCAATTGCTTGCGACCCTCACCTTTTTCACTCGAATCGTAATCAGATGGTCGTGAAGCAGTGGCTTGGATTTCTTCATATTCTGAAATCTAACATCTAAAATAAATGAAAAATTGCACACGAGAACAAATTTATATTACCGCAAAAGCAAACGACGCCGTCGAAATCGGTGTGACCACGCGTTTATCGAACAAATTTACTGTCCGACCCTCAGAAATATACTGAAATATACCATCTCCTTTTAAAAATATACCGTCGATATACTGACGAATTCAAGTTCTAATATATATATTCATCTTTTTGATGTTCCGTCGAATATTACTAACTAGATAGAACCCTCAGCTCTGCCCACATAGTTTTATCGCATTGATAAATATATTTTCTATAAGATCAATTTTAAGTACTCTCACTTATTTTATTTTGACTAAAACAAGGTTTAAACAAAAATTTCTATTATTTCAACAAATTTCAACAATTTCTATTAAATTAATTTTGTACATGGTAACTACGCGATAACGACACGTTTGCTACAGGTCAAATACATTTTTACGTAATTACCAGAAGCGCAACTTCAAGGGGAAACGTGTACTTCCCCTATATACAAATTTTTGGCCGCTTTTTTTCAGATATGCCCTCCAGTGTGAAAAACCTCCGTTATACACTTTTTGCCGAGATTTTTAGAAAAATTGAGATTTTGATGGCCTGAGTCGCGGCCCTAAATGGCATTTCTACACGATTTCTACTGGATAAGAATATAAAAAGTAAAGGAAATATATACCGTCTAACCCTCAGAAATATAGTGAAATATACCGCTCTGTTTTCAAAATATACCGTAAATATACCGATGAAAAAACGAACTTAGTTCACAAAAGCCCCCCTAGTGTTCTGTTCTTAGTCGGAAATAATAATCCTTAATTTCGATAAGCCGAAGTTTAATATTATTAGCTAGCTGGGAAAGACAGCCCTAAAAACATTATCGACTGGAAAGTCGCTAGAGCTGCGCGCCAAAGTGGGGTATATTTCGTCGTTTACCCTCACTGCTCGAACAGCTGGTGCTGCCCCTTGCCCCTTTACCGCTGTCGAAAACAACGAAAACCCGAAGTAGGCGCTGGAATTTATAAGTTGCAAAATTAAATGTGCTTTACATCAAGAAATGCTGTAAGCAGAAGAAAAAAAAATTCGTGCTATGTACTGCAGCCAGCCGTCGAAACAAGTGCGTGCCGTCGTTTAAAATGATGCACTAAACGATGATCTAAGAACAAAATCTAAAAGCAGTGGATAAATCAAAAGTGGCAGCAATAAGGGAACGAAAAAAGAAAGCTTCAACAATGTGCGACGGTGAAATTTGTCAGTTAGTGACTCAGCAGCAAGCAGGGCAGGCCTCGCCGCAACGCATGAACGGCGGAGAAGTGGAAATGCCACAGGATCAGGGGCCACCAGAGAAGAGCCATTCGCGCGTGACCATCGGCAACCCCGCCGTGATCAAGACACTAGAGGCCAGCGACCCAGCGGATCCTTGTAAAGTGGCTCTCTGGGGGCTGGACGAAGTGGTAAACTGGGCCACTATGGAGAACTTCTCCGAAATCCTGATTGGTTGCATGCGCGACGAACTCATTGATGGCGAGGTGCTGCTGGCCCTTACCGAGGAGGATGTCCGGGCCCTGCGCTACAACCTGGACTACAAGCTCTCATTTGGCGAGCTCAAAAAGTTCTGGATGGCTCTCTTCAGGCTCCAGAAGCTGGTGAAGCACAGCTGCGCCTCCGTGGAAGACGACCCCCTGATGACCGGCCTGCCACAGAAATCCTTATCGCAGCAGCTGATTGGATCCGTTGGTCCGCCCTTGTCATGCGCCTGTCCGCCGCCACGGCCGTTAGACTGCCCCAGCTATGTGTCCGACTGCGAGACGTATTTGCGCATGGGTAGAGGCTCCGTAGCCCCAGAGTACTTTAAAACCGCCATGAGCTTAGGTGAGTAGCCACTTGGCATGCAGGTAGTTTTCTAGTCAATTGTGAAGGTCAATTGTTCATTGATTGTTTCTCCTTATCGGTCGTGTGCCAACTGTGTAGAAAGGGGGAGAGAGAGAGAGAGAGAGAGAGAGCAGCCATTTCCCTTCAATCCATCACCCGTATTCTCGCTATCAGCTGTTTCAGTCATGAGTGGGAGTGTGTGCTATCAAAAGTTCAATGCCGCACTCTTTCCCACATACGTCACTCAATTATTATGTTAATTATAGAGTAGTAGTGTTCATAGTATAGTGCTCTGGTGACGCGCGTTACTGATATTTATTTCGGTCTGCATTGGAGGTTATGTGGAAACGCCGCTCGCTCGGCTACCCCCCTCTCGTTCTGGCCCCCCACCCCACTCGTAGCGTCGCACCGATATGCAGGGGAATTTTCAGCCGAACAGCCGTCTTTGTGTAACTTTGCGTGCATTAAATTTCAAATGTCGTTTTATTTTGAGGTATATTTTTGTTTATCATACTCACGAGTGTGTGTACCCTTCAAACTGCTGCCGTCTTGCTTCACTCGGACACAGTAAACACTCGCATTACAGAAGCATACACAGTGGGGTAACGTGTAACCTAACCGAAAGGTTTTTGGAAAGCAATCAGAATTGCTCGAAGGTTACTTCCAGCGTATTCCAATGCGAATCTTGACCGTTTATTCCTGTCTAGGGATGGAAATTCGCCTTCTCTTCTCACTTTGCAATGCTAGTTTTCTCTCTCTCACACAAACACTGCAGACTTCACCGTTGATTTCTGGTTAGAGATGAAAGCTATGTCTCCTTTCTGTCAAAAATGTAGCGATCTCTCTCTCTCTTTTCTAGTTGTAATCGATAAGAATCCAACTGGCGGACATTTTGAATCCTTATTCCTTTGTCTATCTCTGCAAAAAAAAAAAAAATATTTTAAATTGAAAATGATCTAAGAACAATTCCTAGAATGAATTTCTTTATCGTATCTTGATCAGCTCACTAACCGAGTTTCTATTGCAGGTTACTCGTTTGTCGTGACCTGGATAACGTCGTTCGTTATGGTGATTGTACACGAGCGCGTTCCGGATATGAAGCGCTACCCGCCGTTGCCGGACATCTTCCTCGACAACGTGCCGCACATTCCCTGGGCCTTCAACATGTGCGAGATCACGGGATCGCTGCTGTTCACCATTTGGCTGTTTGTCCTGATCTTCCACAAGTACAGAATGGTGCTGCTGCGGCGTTTCTTTGCGCTGGCCGGCACCGTCTTCCTACTGCGCTGCGTGACCATGCTGATCACGTCCCTGAGTGTGCCGGGCACACATCTGCAGTGCAATCAGAAGGACTTTGCCATCGACGATACCAACGTGGATATGTTGGGTGCCCTGCTCATGCGCATGACCCGCGCCTATCGCATCTGGAGCGGATTGGGCATGTCGATACAGGGCGTGCGAACGTGTGGCGACTACATGTTCAGTGGCCACACAGTTGCCCTGACACTGCTCAACTTTTTCATCACAGAATGTGAGTGCTGGCAAAAGGTATTCATTGATTGACTGACTCGACTCTCGACTTCCTACATTCATTTTAGACACGCCACGCAATCTATACTTTCTGCACACACTCACCTGGCTGTTGAACATGTTTGGAATCTTCTTCATATTGGCCGCCCATGAGCACTACTCCATCGATGTGTTTGTGGCCTTCTACATCACCTCGCGTCTATTCCTGTACTACCACACGCTGGCGAACAACAGGGTAGGTGGTCTCATTCCAGCTCCATTCCATTTGCAACCGTTCTCATCTGTTCTTCACGCAGGCTCTCATGCAAAGCGACTCGAATCGGACGCGCATTTGGTTCCCCATGTTCAGCTACTTCGAGAGCAGCGTACAGGGGATAGTGCCGAACGAATTTGACACGCCCGGGACCCTTATCAATGGCCTGATAGAACAGATATTCAAGGCCAAGGACCTAATGATGGGGGGAGCATATCGCTACTATATGGAGAGACATCTGTCCGCCAAATCATCGTTGCATATATTTGGCAGCGAATCGGAAAGATTCCTACAATTCGGCTACAATTCGCGGCAGACGCCGAGCAGCACGAGTGGCATGGTGACACCGGTGTCCAGTGCATCGACCACAACTCAATTCCAGGCACAGAACATGAATGGCGGTGTCAGAGATGTCAGCCTTGACCCCTACGCCTCAAGTGCCAGCGAGACCTCGGCCCAGACGCTCTACAACGAACCGCCGATGCGGGAGAAGAAGGTGCTATGATTCACAGCCATTTGGCTCTTCCAAGGGGCATGGCCCGACACTCTCAAATCCATTTACCGATGCCGTTCTTCGTAAAGCAAAAAAATGCTGAAACAAAAAACCACACCGACTGATATTTTTATTTCGAAACCTACATTAAACCCCTTCCCGCATTACAGCTCAGCTCCCCTGTAAGTGTGCCCTATCTCCTTCTATCTCTCTCTCCCTCTCCCTCTCCCTCTCTCTGCATTCTACCATTCGTAGTGCCTTCCGGGTGCATGTGTGTCCCCCAGCTCCAGGATGTCAGAGCCTAGCCTTTCCCGATCGGTCCTTAATTAACGTATTATTTTGAAAAATGAAACCCTATTCGCCGGCCGATGTTCTGCCCGGGCGATAGAGCAGCCAGCTATTAATCATAATCCCTCCTCATTCCGTTCAACAAAGCTTTGAACTAAATGTATTTATTATTGAAGACTTCTTTAAAACATTTTTTTATAATTGTAAGCATGTGAAACAAGTGTATTTTTAGTTATTTAGTCTTAAGCTGAGAAAAATTTTGTTGAACGCACACAAAAAATCAAAAATCAATAAATCCTTACGAATATTCTCAGAGAAATCGGAGGGAGATACTGACCACATTGCGGGCGCATTGGTAATAAAAGGGTTATGAGTTTTGGCACTGAAGATAGTAGTTTCGCTTGTGGATCAGCTTTATTTCCGCATAAATCGTCTGCTCTGAGCAACGCTTTCAAGAGTCCCCACGTTCTAGAAAGGAATTAAGGTAGAACTCGCTTAATCCAATAACAGAACGTTGAAGGGGTATATTCGATTTGTGGTGGAACAACCAGAAGGAAACGTTTCCGAACCCAAAGGAGGGGTAGATGGCTAGAGCATCCAAATTTGGTGTACAGACATCTGTGATATCATAAAGGAGGAAAGTCTGTGGCTTTTCGTCAGACAATTTTAAAGATGGGACCATTATTATAGCCAGAATTAACAAATCCATTCCATGCGCTTACTCATTCTCTCCATCTCACACACTCTTTCTCGTGCAAAAGGAAGGGAACAAGACATAGCCACGAGAAAGAGAGAGAGGGAGAGACAGATGGCTCCCCTTGCCAATGTCCGCTAGTTTTTTGCCTATTCAAAACACTCGACCAATGCAAAACCAGTCCCTGTTGAATGATGAACTGATGGATTAGCAGACATGGGACGATGATAGGATAGCAGCAGCATCGCGCAAAATATTATTGAGTTTGAGTCATTTGTCGAGTTTATTCAGTTATTGATTTTAGGCCATTTGTGGTACAAGTTGTGTTATTAAATAATTATTATCGGACAGAATGGTGGTAGCTTATAGGAGTAATGGTGGAATCTAACGTTTCAGCGACACATATCAGTTCGGTAAAATGAAAGACCAAAGGGGGCTTCTACAATTCATTGTTTTATTTTTGTTGGTTTTTTAATATAAAAATGGCATTTCTTTACTAATTGTAAGTTTAAATTACTAATTTAAAGTATGTATGATTGCGGTAATTGAAAAATATATATATCATTTATATATATATATATATATACACACATATATATATATACACGCATGCACATATATATGTAGTTATATGCATATATATTCTTGTGTATACTCTCCAAGGTGTGAAAAAAAAATTGTTTTTATGAACATGAAACGTCTTCTCTCAAGCGTATATGAAAGCGTTCAAGTTTTGACTTAAAGAATAACATTTGTATTGTTTTTTTTTTGTGGTTTTTATTTGTTTTGTTTTTAGTTTTTTTTTTTTTTTTTTTTTTTTTGTTTCTCTCGGTTTCCATTTCCGGGTTGGGTTTTCCTTTTGTTTTGTATTATATATAAATATAAAGCAAATCGAAACGTTTCAGTTGGTGTGTCATCTTCTAGCAAAAGGAGGAAACAATTAACAAACGATATAACTCGAGATGAAAGCACTCATTAATCCTTCTCTATAGTACAACTAATATGCAAAAATAAACTATGAATGGTGTGTGTTTCATGAGTAGTGTGCTGAGCTCTCTCTTCACTCTGATGTAGTTCCTTCGCGTAGTTCCATCCATTCTTTTTCTCTTCACTTCCGTCTTTACTACTCCGACAAAAAATATAGTTCGATACGTTCATAATCATATAATACCTTATATGCTAGTGTGTGTGTGTGTGTGTGTGTGTGTGTGTGTGGGAGTGAGTGTGTGTGTGTGGGGTGTGGTGCCTAACATTTACATTTACTGTAATTCTGTCTGTTATGCACGAAGCTACTTGAGGTTTCATTGAATCATTCATCATTCTCTCTACGGATGCACCACTCTTCTCTTCTCATCTCATCTCATCACGGATCTCCTGTCTGTTTGTATAGTCCTTCGCACTAGATATTTTTTTTTGTCATTTTCGCGTTATGTGAAAACATAAATATAACAACAGATTATGTATTGGTTTTGTTTTGTTTTGTTTTATCGGTTGTGGCTTGTTGCCTGCCGCTATGCTATTCGTCCCCTAGCGCCTAGGCCTAGAGCTAGCCAAATACAGTATATAATGTAATTCTAGTCGTAAACCATAACTGCTTCCTTCGCGTATATTTCAAAATATATAACATAAATACAATGTTTGTATGTATGCATGTGTAAGTTGTTGTTTTGTTGTTTAGTTTCCTTATTTCTTGATTTAGTTTAAATGAGGGCTGTTGTTGTCGCGGTAGATCTACCGTCACATAAGATCGTAGTGCAATTAATTTCTTTTTTCTTTTTTCTTTTTTTTTTTTTGGTGTGGCATAAAAGCTCACGCAGCCTTACGACAAGTCTGAAACGACAAAGGTGATTAGAAAATGTATATTCACAATAATAATTACAGCCCAGAGGAACTTACAGCTAGGCGCTGCCTCGTAACGACGCTGTATCTGGTCGTACGTGAATTTCACAAAGGCATCGTACTGCTCGGCCAGTTTGGTGGTCAGCACGGACTCGTACCGCTCGCGCAGCTGATTCTCGCGCTCCTTGATCATGCTCTCGCATATGAGCTGCACCTGTTTGAATGTGAACAGCGCCTTCTCGCCGTGGCGCATCAGGTTCGGTGGGCTGTCCGGGCGGCGCGGGCTCTCCGGTCCCATTTCGGAGCCGCTCGACTCGGAGTCCTGCATGCGCTCAATGGCGGCCGCTGTGATCGGCAATTGCTTGCGCTTGTGCAGTCTTTTGATTTCGTTGCACAAGTTCTCGGCCATTTTGTCTGCAGGTGAATGGCGATTAAGGACATTATTTAGGTGTGTACCTCACCGGCGAAACCAACAAAGTTACAACGTTCTTACCAGGCGACATCTTGGCCAGACTGGCCTCCGAGAATGGGCTGGGCTCGGTGCTGTCTTTGGCATAGCGATTGCTGGGCGTCTGCGTTATCCCCGAAGAGATGGTGGGTCCATCGCGGTCCCGCGACGGGGAGTTGCTGCCCGCCTGGCCGAAGGGATTGCAACGCCTACGCTTGGGAGGACGCTGGTTCATCGACTCCCAGTCTAAGGCGCGTTTCAGTGTTGCACAGGCCATCGATATTGTTAAGGTTCCCGGTGAAAAGTTGATAAATTTGTAGCTGTGTAAATTTTCTGTAAAGTTTCTGATTATTGCCACAGTTGTTGCACAGCTGCTGTTCGAAGCGTCGTTCCCTGTGAGAGTCGGAGAGAGAATAATATTCAATGGATTAGAGGGGTTTGTTCTCGCACCTTGCTGGGAACGATGCGAAAACTGGTTTCAAGGAAAAACAGGATTCACTTGCCACACACACACACAAACACACACACACATACACATACAGAGTACAACCAATAAAAGAAAATGGTGCAGCGATTTATGGCCTGCCAGACAGTGCTGTCAATTTGGCTTTATTCCCGCAGAATATAGCTTGATTTTTGAATCGCAGTTTGACTTTGATTTTCAGTTTAATTAAACTCGAAACATATAAAAAGATTACTCTTTCTCTGGGCTATATGAATATTGGAGCTTGCGTTTTCAGCTCTTTAGGGGGTTTAAGGTTAGCAGAAACCGCTTAGCGGGTAACTCTAATGCCCTGCAAGCAGCTGCTATGCTATGCTATCGGCACAAGAAAAAAGGGCGATTCCAAAGAGAAAGAGAAACGAAACCAAAAGGCGCAGCGCAATTACCAACACAACTACAAATGCATAGCAATGCAGAGGAAAGAAAGAAAGGTGTAACCCAATGCCAGAACAACCACCACCACTACCAGGATAATGCGTAGTCTTTGAGGCATGGAGCGGCAGTGGTGGCCTAGCTGAAGGCGGCTGTACCAGCTGTTTTTCACACTCACACTGTCTCACACAGCAGTGCTTCAGAGGCAGGGTTCAATCAATTTGCAACACGTGCGGAAATGGCTGTTCTGAGCTGGTACATAGAGATACAATTTGCACCGTACGTTTTTAATAACCATCAACGTTTAGCGTTTTACGTGACAAACACCAGGCCCGAGGAGATTTGCTTTCAGAAGAAGCCCAAATGACAGCAACTAATGCGATCACAGTGGTTGTCTCGCTCTGGCACACACACTCGCTCGGACACGCACACTCGCACACTCGCACAGCACAGCACAGCTGCAAGTGTGAGTTGGAATGTTGATTTCATGAAATTTTAAAAATGGTCGAATCGTATATCATTATCAGCGCCGCCCAGTAACCGTAGTGGAAAATCTGGCAAGAAATATGTGGCCGCACGCTTTTCACACCACCATTGCACTTACTTTAATTGGATTTTCGGCGTTGCACTATGTATTTCCGTCGAGTTTCTGCACCACTTCACACGCGCTTTATTTACTTTTTTATTGTATTGTACTACTCCTTTGCTGGAACATACGCACGCACAAATGAATCAGATTGTAGTTAAGAGTCTAAGTAATATATAGTATTGCTTGCTAGTTATTTGAGCAGTATTTCCAAAGGCCACTGAAATGCACTGTCGTTAAATGTTTGATTTATTGTTAATTTTCCATAAGTTAACAAATTTTTACAAATCCGTCAGATTCTTAACAAAAATGGACGACGATGCGTGCGTGACGAAGATGCAGTGTGACCGCGGACTTATCGATACAATGTACGGTCTGACCCTCAGAAATATACCGGAATTTACGTCACGAATTTCAAAATATACAGTAAATACAGTGGCGAATTATTTGTGTACAAGATCCATCATATTCCTGGTTTTCGATACCTATATTTTTATGTAGTTATTAAAAACAACAACTGAAGTGGAAATGTTCACGTTTCAAAAATTTGTGTCGGTTTTTTTTTTAAAGCCCCATGGAGGCGCCAGTGTGGAAAACGTCCGTTATCCACTTTTTGACATATTGAACAATTTTTTTTTTAATTTTGATTTTTTTGGCAGACGATCAGGAATTCGAGTGGATCACCAAATATTATTGTGGCCTAAACGGAATTTCTCCACGATTTCTACATTGGTGAATTGCACAAGCAGGTGAGGCCATAACTGGTCTTAAAATATACTGGAAAATATTAGGAAATTTGCAAGGTGTGTGAGCTAGACATGGTGGCAAGAAATTCAGTGACCGTGAATTTGTCGATAAAATATACCATCTGACCCTCAGAAATATACCAAAAACCAACATAGTCCACTTAAACCCCATTTATTTAAATTGGATAACAACTTGAGTTAAACCGTCGAAAATAATACAAATAATAATAATAAAAATTACTCTTTTAGGTCCATCGTATCCTTCATCTGTGCATAAAGAAAAGACCACAATATTATAATTTAGTACCTTAATTACTGTATTTGGATCAACATATGATGATGATTGGAACTGCATTTCCCAACCACTGAAAATGTGAACCCACCGGGAAATGTACGTGATGTTCATATTTACTGCAACAGATTCAGAATGTTATTCGGCGTAAATTGGCCCTGGATGGTATACCATTCAGGCTGAGCCACTTTAATAGCCGAAAGCTGAAGACATTTGGACAGTCCCTATTGTGCAGATGCCGAACTATTGTATTGATAAGTTAGTTTTAATTTGTATTTGATATACACCACATATAATATATCCATATGAACTTATTTTTTCATTGTTGGGTTGGGCTGGGTACCGTTTTCCACAGGTTCAAATATATCGTAAATTAACGGACACGACGCGGTTTTTGCTTTCGGCCAAAGAAAATAGTCAAACATGTCCTTGGAAAAGACTCATGTGCCGAGAAATCGAGCAGTATTGTCTCGCAACATGAGCAACATTCTGACACCCTTGGGAAAAGCATATTATGGAATTGCAGAAATGTTTGTCATCATATGCTCCAATTAGGCTATTGTGCAGAAACTAGTCAGTCTCTGTTTTAAAGGTATTTCAACGATACTTTGCAATTAGTGGTCTTCTTACAGAGACCAAGAATGAGTATCGGAATCAGGATATAAAGGAAACTAATTAAGTGCATGAATTCGTCAAAAAAGTATTAATTTAAAAAAATTCCCTTATTGATTACGTTTGGAAAACAGTATATGAATATTAAATTAACAAGATAGGGTATACAAATGGCAGTCTTCAGTTACCAGCAACAATGCTACTGTTTTTTGTTGATCTTTTTTGTATAAACCTTGTTTTAGTCAAAATAAAATAAATGGGATTACTAAAAGTACTTTATCTTGAACAAAATGTATGGCATAAAATTATGTGGGCAGAGCTGAGAGTCTTAGTTAGTCAGCATTATTCAATGGAATATTAAAATTAAGCAATAGCTACGATTACTCTCTTGAGTTTTTTTTCACCTTTTTCGCTAAAGCCTTTTTTAGGCAAAATCCAATAAAAGCAAGTATTTAAAATAAACTAGTTAAGTAGAAAATAGGTTCATTAATTAGATACAATTATGTGGGCAGGGCTGAGAGATCTATCTAGCTAGTAATATTGGACGGAATATCAAAAACGAGGAATATGTATAATAGAACTCGAATTCGCCGGTATATTTACGGTATATTTTTAAAATGAGACGGTATATTTTGGTATATTTCTGAGGGTATATTTTATATTTTAAATTAACACCATTGGTGTCACCATTGTCAGTAGAAAACAATTCCAACAATTGAAAATTTATAAAACTTTGCACCTGCACAAGCCACTACAGCATTTTTTTTTCGTGTCTTCGCAGCAATCATCAAACCTTAGTGAACAATATTACCCAGTGCGTGCACGGAAATAACAACAAAACATTACGTATCAGCAGTACCAGCACCGTAGGGGCCAAGAGCAGAAGCAAAGAAAAAGAAAGATCTAAAAATATTTTTAATCGTCGTACTCGAATACTTTCATTTCGCGAAACGCGAATAGATAGAGCTTTAAATTGACAAAACAACGCATTATTAAACGCAAGTTAAAATGGTATTAAAAGTCTACGTCAGCGGCATGTCCGGCAACAAGGAGGTGAGTGTGTCGAGGGCGGGGTGACATGGGGCGAGGCAAAGCCTGCATAGAATCGAGCTGCAGCGGCTCTGGTGTCATGTTAATGGAATTTTTGGGCCCTGTCATTAGCAGCCAACAACGCAGCTAACAAACTTAGATAAAAGACGGGTGACGATATGCACTGCGAATTCTATTTTATTCCTCAGCCGTTCTTTTGCTTTTTGTTAGTTGGTGTGCGTGTGACGATGATGATATATAGTGAGTGTGTGGTGTGGTATACTGTGTACAGTCGAAACAGCTAGCAAGTGGGTATTTTCTGTATGTGTGTGCGTGTGTGGTGGTGGCAAGAAGCAGCACAATGACCGCAAACATTTCATTGCCCATATATGTATGTATGTATAAGCTTTTTTTTGTCTGTCAACTGTGGATCTGTGCAACTGTAAAGGAGAGCGCATTCATTGATCACAGTTGCTTCTCTATGCGTGGGCCCTCTTTTATTTGTACGTGTGTTTGTGCATGATTCAGTTTTTCGCTCTTCTCCTTTGTTCCATTTGCAAATGTCGAATAAGAACAATAACATAACGGGCTTTGTGCAGGCCATCGACAGCAACAACAAAGAAGAAGAACAGCGGCTACGACAACAACAATGAGAGCACGACTTGCTTCCATTGTTTGTGGTTCCTGTTATGATACCGCTTACCCGCAAAGCAGAAAGGCATATTATTTTTGTTGTGAACTTGTAGCTAGCAGGAAAGAAGCCATCTGATCCACTACACTATATAAAAAAAATAGTTCAAATTATTTCCAGAGATGCTCTCGGACCGTTCCCTAATTTTGAGTATCCATTAGGTGGTGTTATGTGAAGCTCACGAACTGCCGAGTGACCGCAGAGGGTGTGGTATAGTCGCAATACCCACTATAGATTTCTTGCTCTTGCGGTGAGAGTGCGGGTGCGTCAGCCTCTAAAAAAGTGCGTGAAGTCAAACGAGAACCGTGACAACTCTTTATCTTGTGACAATTACACGAAACGAGCGGTTCCAATTGGATTTCCTTATCGGGCTTCCAAGTGTGTGGCTGTAGGTGTGTGCGTGTGTTTGGGCTTGCCGGTAGATACATATGTATTCATTCACAATAGCTGCCAGAGATGGGCACAGCTCACCGTTGATGGCAGGGACTAGATATCCGCTTGTACTAATAACGAAATATTTCTAATTGCAGGTTAAGAAGCGCCAACAGCGCGTCCTTATGATCCTGGACAGCAAGAACATCCAGTATGATACCGTGGATATCACAGAACCCGGCAAGGAGGGGGAGAAGGAGATGATGCAGAACAAATCTACCAGCAATGGCGGCACAGTCAGCGACCCCGATCCCCGCCACCCGCTACCTCCTCAGATCTTCAACGATGCGGACTACTGCGGCGACTACGACGCCTTCGACATGGCCAACGAGATAGACACCCTGGAGGTGTTCCTGAAGCTGGCGCCCGCCGACACCACGGCCGTGAGCAGTGCCCAGATCGAGCTTAAGCAGGAGAACGGCGATGCCAAGAAGGAGGTGGACGGCGAAAAGGAGAAGGCGACAGAGAAGGATGAGGCGGCACCCGCAGAGGATGCTGCTGCAGAGGCCAATGGCGAGGCGGGGGAGAAGCCAGAGGTTTGAGCTTAGGCCATTTACCGTATTTTCCGTTAATTGTTATGAAGCGACACACAACAGAAAAAGCAAAAGTACCAGTAAAAGTAACAGCAATAGAATTAACATCAACTTTAACAGCTAGGACCACACTGGTGGCCGGCATAATGCTAACAGCAGCAATAACCCCTCATGTTATCTAACAACGTATCAGCACTCTCAGGGTTACCGTATATTTTGGCTGGCATAACAAATGAATAAATACCATTCTATCCATTTTTATGGCATAGCTAAAATAGGTGGTAACCCTGCCACTCTAGCACACTCTAACACATCCACCATCAATATATGTCTCTCTACAGTAAAGGCGCTTGTATATGTGTTCTTTAAACATTATATTACCCCGACGACTGCAATTCTTAAAATCTAAGTTTCGAAAATTAGACACTGCACACGCTCTTAATTAATTGTGTCAACACTGAGAAAAAAAGACAATTTTAATCAAAATATTTATAATCATTAACCACCACATCCGACACGTCTGTCTGTATGTGCTTCAGCAGCACACTTTAGGTTCTCATAAGCTTAAGTTCCATCATCTTGAATGAGAGTGAAGAAGAAAGCTGTATCGTTTGTGCAGCAGTTATGTTAATGCGAAAACATAAAAAGCGCTGCCTATGTAATGAAAAGGAAATATATTTGTATGAACTAAAAAAAAATATAACCAACAGCAAGGCTTGTTTTTCTAACACTCTCGTCTAACCCTGCAATAATCCACACTGACACATTTTGCGAAGCCGCGACTGTAAAACGCTAGAACTTAACAGGGATCGTAGCAGCACAGAATGCCAGAACTTAACAGCGAGTGCCGCTACTGTAGAATGCCAGCACTTAACAGCGAAAGCCTAACAGTGGTAGTAAGAACGCAAGCCGCGACTGTTCTGCTTTGATTTTTCTAATGTGTGCGTGTGATTCTCCCAAAGAAGAAAGACGAAGACGGCGCAGAGACGTCGAGCGAGGATAAGGAGAAGGCCGAGGGCGAAGGTGCAGACGCCAAGGAAGAGAATGGCGAGGAAAAGGTAATAGATCCCTAAGAGAGTTGCATGGAAAACAGCTAACATAAGAATAGTAGAGGCTTTAGGAGCTAACCACGGCATGTTCTTGCACCGTAGACGCCAGATTTCCGATCGTATCTTGTACTATATGCATTTTCCACTCCCCTTAAAAACCATCCATAAACACACGCACCACTCCCACAACCCGCCCCCAAATACCAGACTGAAACCGAAGCTGAGGAAGAGTCCGGGGACCAGACAGCGCAGGAGGACTCCACAGGTAAAGAATCGAAGAAGGAGCAAGAAGGCACTGAGAAACCAGAGGGCGAAGAGGAGTCCAAAGAGAAGAGCGACGGTGAGAAGGAAACTGAAAAGGCTGAGGAGGAAGCCGATGAGAAGGTCAAGGATGGAGAGGAGATATCAGAAGAAAAGTCATCCGAAGAAGAGGTTGCAAAGGAGATAGTTGAAGAGGCTGGTGGGGACAAAGTAAAAGAAGAAGCTGAGAAAGAAACCGATGAGGAGAATGAAGAGGAAGAAGATGTAGAAAAGGATAAGGAAGCTGTGGCGGAAGAGGGGCTGGAGGCAGACAAAAAACAGGACGAAGCCGAGAAAGAAGAAAAGGAAGCGGAGCCGAAGATCGAAAAAGAAGAAGGTAAAAAGGATGACGACGAAGAAGCTGACGAAAAAATAGCAGATGCGGACAAAGAGGCGGAAGAAACGAAGGAGGAAAAGGATGTTGCGGAAGCAACAGAAACCGAAAAGGCAGAAGAGACACAAGAAAAAGCCGCCCCCGAAACGGTGGAGACCGAAGATGCTGAAAAGGAGACGGAAAGCCCAGAAGAGACGCCAAAAGAATCCGCCCCCGAAACGGTGGAGACCGAGGAGGCTGACAAGGAGACGGAAAACCCAGAAGAGACGTCAAAAGAATCCGCCCCCGAAACGGTGGAGACCGAGGAGGCTGAAAAGGAGACGGAGAAGAATGACGCGCCCAAAGAGGAAGCAGAAGAGGACAGCAGTAAGCCGAAGGCCGCTGAAGAAGATGACGCCGAGGCAGAGGCGTCCGCCGCCTCCTCCGGCGAGACGGAGGAATAAAAACAAAGAGTCCCAGCAACAGCAACATCCGCACACTGGCACCTGCATCCAAAGTGTATTAATGCAAGGTGAGGCCCTCTCACCTTGTATTTGTGCACCTTGGAGCGAACAAGCGGGGAATCCACACGGCACCCACACACACACATGCGCACGCACACATTTAGCATATAATGCCACTATTTTCTGTAAATAAAAAGAAAACCCACTAATCACACAAATTCAGGTGACGGGTAACGAACCTTAGAGTAATGCTTGATACACCCCCACCCCCACACCCCCCCCAACTATAGTGATTTTTGAACAATTTTCTTCCTTCCCAACCACCCACCGACGACGCCCTCCCCTCCATACGGCAGCGACTTTCCGCAACGACGACGACAACAACAGCAGCAGCCGCCCCCCCCTCCGTCGACGAGCCCGCGACAGACTCAGACCGGCTATTGGAAAGCGAGCGTGCCGCGACTGCGCAGTAGACGGCGGCAGAGGAAGGGGGGCACAGGCAACGGCAGCGGCAGCGATGCGTCGAATGTCTCGACTGCGCAGCCTGGAATGTGGAACTCGTTTTCGCTTTGAATTTATTTTGGAAATTATTATTATTTTTCAGTTTTTTGACCACAAAAATATTCAGTAAACGGTACATGATTTACGTCTCTCATTTTAGTTTTTGTATCCAAATAACTAAATATACAGTACATTATAATTATGTTTAGTACAGTACACGATAAAATGAAGTTTATAATTATTTACGCTCTAGTTCGGGGTCTTTTCCATCATAAAACTAGTCAAAATGCGAGGGGGTCTCGCCACGCGAAAATCATTTACTAAAAGGAAAACAGGGGAAAAGGGTTTCTTCAGCTGTTTGCTTCAGCTGCACATCTCTCTGCGGAAAGGAGGGACATATTCACTCGCAGGGGCATCGCCAGTCACCATACGGGGTACACCTGCGACTCGTCACTGTCATGCTCGCTCGCTCGCTCGCTGTCTAGTCGCTGTCCTCCTCGTCGGACGTGTCTGTCGTGTAGTCACTCAGATTCTCTTGCTGATCGTTGTGCTCCGGCTCAGACTCGCTCAGATCCCACTGCGGATGGTCTGTCGGTGGTGCTGGCGCCTTCTGCACGTCTAGCTTAAGCTCTTGTTGCTGATCCATGCCCAGGTAGGAGTCTGCAATAGAATTATCATTGGTGTCTTCAGTCGAAAGACAGCTCCGGCCAGACTACTCACCCGATCGGAGGCACACTGTGAACGTGTAGACGCCCGGCCAACGCGGCGCAGTGAACTTCAGCTGGATCTCCTCTTTCTCGACCAGGTTCGTGACGTGGTAGGGGGCCGTGAGGAGCGTTCGCGACTTGCGATCGCAGATGTAGGTCCACCAGTATTCTTGCTTCTCCTCGGGAAAGAAGGGACAGTGGACGGTGTGCGATAGGCGCGACTTGCCCTCGAGACGCTCGCGCTTGTTCAGCTTCTGCTGCAGGCGCTCCCATTCTTCGTCATCGTCATCGTCGAGCGAAGAATTGTTCTTGTTCTGCTTCTCGTCGTCCTCGCTGACGCTGCCGGCTACCGAATCCACGTCACTGTGGTCCCCGGCATCCGAATCGACCTCTGAGTTGGCTGCCTGCTCCTCCGACGTTGCGGCCGACGCAGTCGCAGCCACGTTGACCGCCTTGGGCTGCACCTTCTTCTTTTGGTTGTTGGCGGGCTTCTTGCCGCCCTTGCCCTTGCCACCCTTGCGGGGCTTGGCCCAGGCCGAGGCCTTCTTCACGGGCACAGCAGCGGCTGCAGCCTCGTCGTCCTCCCCAGCAGCCTCTTCGTTGGCCTCATCGTTGATGCCCTGCTTCTCGGGGGCCTTGGTGTCGCCGAACAGAGTCTTCATGTCCTTGCGTTCGAGCGTCACTGTGACCGTGACAATGGCCCCGGCGGTGACTACATTGGTGTTCTCGTCGTCAATGACCTCGCAGCGTATGGAGAAGTCGATCAGGGGCATTTTGCCCAGCACTTTCATGGTATTCTCGTACTCGAAGTCTGAGAGATTCTTGAGTAGCGTGCGTCCCTCCTCGGGCTTCAGCTGCGCGAACTGCTGCAAATTCTTCACGTGCCGCTTCTTGTTCATGAAGTACAGATGGTCCTCGGTCAGGTGCGGCAGCTGCAGCAGCGGCGACTTGAACTCCCACAGGCCCTGGATGATCATCGGCGACATCTTCATGCAGTTCTCGATGGTTTCGATGCTGGGCAGGCGAGGCACGCGCCTGGCATACGCCATCATCACGAGCTGGTGCACACAGGAGACCATCTCCTGCACCAAGTACGGGCACTTCTTCACAATGAACTGACGATCACGCTCTAGTGTATCTGGGTTCAGGGTGATCCGTGTGAGATGGGCATGCAGGATGGCGCGCGCCTTGATGGAGTACATGCGGCAGAGCGGGTGCTCCTTGCACTTCTCGTTCAGATTGGGCAGCTGGCGGATGAGCTGCAGCGAGAAATCGAAGGATCAGTAAGGATCGGTAAGGAATGAACAAGAACAATATACGCAGAAACACTAACCGCTGGAACTTCGTCGTTGTCCGACTGGCGCTCCGTCACCTGCGAGTTGTGGCGCTTGTCGAACTCCAGGCTGGCAGCCAGCACCATCAGGGCGCGCTTGAGCAGCATGTGCGGGGTCTTGTGGATGAAGTAGAAGTACATTTGGGTGGTGTCGAGGAGGACCTTGTCGCCGCTGAAGCGTATGGAGCGGTACCACCAGACGCCAACGGCCGAAGGCATGGCCACCATGAAGACGAGACCGTACAGGCCCAGCACCCATACGCTGTTCTCCTTTTCCACAATCCACGACGGCAGGGCAATGCCGAAGGACATTGCTCCGGGGCCATCAGGATTGCCGTACTTTTCGTAGTTCTCCTTGGCCACGTCGTCGGTGAGGGCCTGGTAGGCCTTGCTGAGCATCATGAACGATTTCTCGTCACCCGTCTCCTTATCGGGATGCAGTATCTTGGACAGCCTGTAGTAGGCCTTCTTGATCTCCGCCTGGGAGGATGTTGGCGGCACATTCAGTATCTCGAAGGGATCGAAGCTGGCCATTTCATAGTCAAACTGCGAGACCCGATATGTGAGGAATAGCAGCAGGGCCCAGCCCAGCACAATGACGAGCTTGATGGTCCACGACCTGAGGGCTCTGTATGGCTCGGCATTGGCTAGAATGGTCTTCTTTTTCCGGCAGTCGGCGCACTGGCATTCTTCGTTGTTCTTGCCGGGATCTTGAATAAATTTAGCAACCAAACCAATGAAACAATACCACGATCTTTACAAAAATAGGGAGCAGGAAAAAAGTTATCGTAAGTGTTCTGTTCTGCAAAGTGTCCGCTCAAGCAGCAAGAGAGGAAATATGTTGTATTTTTCGGCGTAGAGAGCATATTTACTTTTGTACAGAATATGTAGGAAAAACGATTCGAAAATCGTTTTTTTCCCCTCTTCCGCTCAAACATACTCTTTCTGTCTTTCGGACAGAATAACAGGATTTGGATTAAAGAGAAAGAGTGGCCCCGAAGGTGTGTCTCGTTTATACGATGGCGCATCGCGACAAGTGGGCCAAGTCCACACACACGCAACACGCACACATGAATGCACGTGAACACATGTAGGCTGGATCACTCCAGAGCCCAATTCGGGAACACTGACATCGCGATATGGTGGCGACGTGTGAACGCATGGAGTGCTTGGGTTGGTGTCCCAATTGTGAAGTGAGCCCGACTTGAAATTCGTGTAAGCGCAGCTTTCACCAATACGAAGACGCTGCGGTGACGTTGTTAGAATAAATTATTGGAACGTGTCCATTTGCAATTGCGAGTGGAAAACACATGCACGTTGTTGTTGTTGGGTGGGGGGGATAAGCACTCAACACACACAGCCCCAGAACAGGCAGGCACACACACGCGCACACACACACACACACACACACACACACACAAAACACTAAAATTCGCGCTGCAGGTGGAGAGCGATTATAATCAGCAGAAGGCAGCACTAACCTTCTTTCTTTTTACGTGGCCAATAGTAAATCGTCGTTGGTATCAATATTAGGGCCAAGAACGATAGCACAAAGTAGTAGAATGTTCCGCCGCTCTCGTCATATTGGAACTTTTGACCCGCCATCGATGCTGTTACCGCCTATATGTGTAGGTAGGTCTGGCTATATACAAAGATTATCTGCGCGCAGCCTTTCTTCAATTTGCTGCCAGTCTGGAATCTGGAGTCTGGAGTCTGGTGTGTAGTCTTTTTCCACTTTTCTTCGCTGTGGCGGCGGCAGGCGGTGGCGGGGACTGCAGCTCCAGCTGATGGGTTGGCACGCTGGCAGTCAGTCCCTGGCCAGAGGCTTTCCGTTGAATTATTAATTAAACTTAATGTTAGCGAACGGTAAACAGCATAGGCTGTTCTGTAGCAAAAAATGCACGATTTCTACACCGAAAACTTAAAAAAGCTATGTATTTACACCGACGCATGAGACTGACACGTAGGGTTGTTTAGCTCAGGGCCGAACTAGTTCGATTCGACCGGGCGGTTCGTTCGTTTTGTTAGCCTATCTTTCGATACCGATTACATTTGTTGCTCTTGAAGGAACATTTTCATCTTGAAGGCGCGCAGCTTCAGATGCTGCAACGGATATTATTTTTAAGCGCCCGCTACGTGCTATTTTTATGAAATAGATTTTATAATATTTTTATAAATACGTTCGTGCAGCAGCGCAACGTATTCTTTGTCCACACCTAACCCTTGCATAATGCTATGAAAATCGAATATTTTCCACATGCCTAGTATTTTGATCGGTCACGAGCTAAAAAGTTTTATTAACAAAATTCGAACTAAGCATCGATAAGTGCAGCCGGCGCAGATGCAACTCTGAAAACTATCGATCACTGCAACGATGTTTGCCGGTGGTCGTTCGTATCGGTGAATTGATCAGGTATAAATTTGTACATTCCCGCTTTGGCAGGCCACATTTTGCATTCAGAGGAATCGAAGAGAACACAAGTAATGGAGGAAGTGAACAACAACGCTAGAGCAGCTCCCCGCACAGCACGCGAGGTTCAGCAAAACTTTGCCGAGTCTCTCGGCTATGCCGATGAGATCATTTGGGATCTGTGAGTATTGTGCAGTTTTCTTGCTGCACATCGTTTGCGAACATGCTAATTAAATCATCCACAGCTTGTCCCAAGAGCAAAAAAAAGTCTTAGAGAAGAAGCTCAAGGAGCTAATACGCGATCCAGAGCCACCGAGTGATGATTCAGAGGAAAGTTCTGAACAGATCGCACGCAGGAAGCTAATCGCCGCCAATGAAAAAGTTAGAAATACCATCTTCAATTCCGTCTGGGAGCAGCGTAAGAGCTCACTCACTAAACTGGTTCTTCCATGAGTCACGTAGCTTCTTTATTTCCAGGAAAATATACAAATCACCAGTCGCTCACATCCATAATATACGTAATGGTTGTCGCCGACGAGCAGGACGTGAATCGTGCGGAGGACTGCCAGTCCTTTTCTTGTCACCCGGTTTTCCGCGCGCGTCGTTGTGTCAGTAAGTTGCGTCCCGGTTTTCGGAAGAATTTGTACTTATGTCTTTTCTTTTCCTTTTGGCCAGCCGGAAGCAGTGGTACAAGTAGCGACAGCTCCAACTGCTGCATGGTGTTCGTAGACGAGAACGGACGCGTCTACCAGAACTGGACCTCGTATGTGGCCACCAACGAGCTGCCCGCCGGTGTGATGGTTGCCCCCGAACGTGGCATTTACAAGATGGTCAACGGACAAGTCAGGTTGGACAAGTACACGACCCCGGCTGGCACCACCAACCGAAAAGTGCTCGGATATCTGGACACTGGCAGTGCGATCGGCGGCTTTGCAGCTGCATGCGTACCAGTGGCCGCTCTCCTCACGCTGCCGGTGTCCGCTCCCCTGATGGCGGCTGCCGGTGCCGTCGGCCTTGCGACTGCCGGCTATGCCACTGCACGTTCCAGTGTCAAGCTGGTGGATCGCAGCCAGCACGAGCAGTCGATCAGCGTGACGGACCGTGAGGCGCGTGGCCACTGGTTGGGCGTAATCGCTGGAGCCGTGGGGCTGGGCGCTGCTGGAGCTACCAGTGTAATGTCGGCGGCCACTGTCGCCGGCCAGGAGGTGGGAGCGGTAAGCGTCTCCATTCAATTTAACAATGGAAACGTTTGCATTCTTTGCATTCCATTTACAGATCACTCAGATGACTGTCAATGGGATGAACATCTCCTCCATCGTCATATCGGGCACTGGCGTAGCCAATGGGGTGCTCGACTTGATACTGGTAAGCGTATAGCCCATATCTACAGCTGCCTTTCGACTTTCTCTAATTTGTTTCCTGCAGAAATCCCAAGATGGCGATGATGTCACGGCCATGGATGTGCTGCAGCTTTCGGCCTCCCTGGTGCTGTTTACGCACAGCGTATATAACTTCCGTCTTGCATCGACCATTATCAATGATACGGCGAACAGCAAGATAAGCAACTATCGCGAGGCTCTGAGCAATCGCCAGCGGTAATCTATATATGTCCTATATATCCATAGCAATATATTACCTTTATTACACGGCTTTCGGTTTTGCTTGCAGGCGTGCCTTTGATAAGGCGTCCAAGGAGACCATCCGAATCCGTGGCAACACAAAGGGGAAGCTGGACATTATACGCGGCGTCAACGAGGTGCCCTCAAAGCAGCAGTTCAACGATCTTTACAAGATCAACAAGCAGTTGAACAAGGAGGGCGTGCGGGTTGCCTTTGCACCGGATGGCAAGGGTTTCGTGCTGAACGACCAGGTGACCACCAGCGCGGCAGAGCTTCGTTCCAGTGTGCAGCACCAACAGGGTCCCGATGTACTGGGTCAGGTGAAGCAGCCGATTCCCGCCAGCCACGAGACTGCGCGCAATATCAGAACGATTGGTGGTTCCCGCATTTTGGGTCCAAATCCGACTGCCCTCGACGGACCGGAGCCCACCAACTATTCCGTGGGCGCGTTCGCGCTCCAGCTAAGCTCTGTTATGGTTGGGGGTGTGCTGTTCGTCCTAAAGGATTACGGAGAGGTGCTATTCGAACACATTGTCAACGCTGGGAGTATCGAGGACATGATCAACAGCATGGCCCAGAACCTGGAGCCGAAAGTCTTCAATTTCATAATGAACCTGACGAGAACCTTCATGGACACTATGCTGGAGGAGCTAAAGTCGGTGCTGAAGTTCTTCATTGCCACCGAATCGGTGATGTACAGGATCCTTGTGTACGTTCTCGATAACTACGGCAAGGATTCCTACGATTTGATCGTTGAACACACCATGGATATTTTGCAAGGCGTCAGAGCCTACTTCATGGCGCTGAATCCCAACTCGTACTCCGAGCTCCTCAAGAAGTGTGACGTCTGCGAGGGCTACTACAGCGTCTGCCAATTGTAACCGGATCAGTCGCAAATGGAAACCCTTTATCATTACTTTATTACAAATACAACTCCCCCAAGAAGGAGCGAGACACAAATCTAACCCAATCACATTCTAAATGAGCACAAATTGACAACAAAATACGGATGGCTGTATGAATTTTGATACAATTTACAATATATGTACAATGTATAAAAGTACTACAAAGTTAACTAATAATTAAATGCTTCTATTTACCAAAGTATTTGACGGATCGTAAGCTTATTAACTGTGTGGGCACAGAATAAGAGATTGCTTATCGGCTTGGTGGCTTCGCAAGACATGGAATCTATAGTAGTAGCAATTGTAAATGTCACGTTGTTGAAGTACCTGAAGCCTTATCATTGTACCCAATTATTTGCTGAACAATGCGAATCCTCTGCGATAACATGCCTGGCCAAATACACATATATAAAGGGGAATTCCCCATATAACCATATGGCTTGGTTGTATTGGTTTCAAATTTTGTTTGGTTCCTGTTCTCTGTTGCCGCTAGAACAGCAATTCGTGTGTCGTTTTGGTGCGCGGCACTTGGGCGTTATTCTGTCTGTCTGTCTGTCTGTATCTGCCTTTGCCGCCAGTCAAGTCGAGCATCATGCTCACGACATGTATGTTGTTTTCCGTTGGTAGCTCGCTTTTGCCGCATTCGCTTGCAGGTTGCACCTTAAGACCTTAAAAGCATTTGCAAAAAGAATTACAAAACGATTTGAAATTGAATAAATAAATGAAATTATAATTTCTGCATTTAGTTTACTCGCTACTCGTTCTTGTTACAGTAATAAAAATAATGATAAGGATAAGACTTAAGGATAACATCGATCGATCGACTCCTCCTCCTCCTCCTCCTCCTGCACAGATTGCTATGGAGAGGAGCAGGCCGGCCCCGAAAGCGTCAGATTTAGTTAGCTTTTTTGCTTTCTTTATTTCACGAAGACAACACAGACATATTAAGATCCAAAATATATATATATGTATTTATATATATAGATATATGTATACGTGTAGTTATGTTTTGTTTGTAGCTTGTTCCTTGCTGAAAATGTGTGTGTGTGTGTGTGGTGTGTGGTGTGTTAGTGGTTGTGTGGCATGCGTGTAATTGTATGTTTCCTTGTTTTTGTGTGTGTGTGTGTGTGTGTGTGTGTGCGCGTCATCCAAAGGGGAGAGGAGTCGAGTAAAGTGAAGTGAAGTGGATGGGGTTGGCAGGGGATAGCCATCCATCCACCCATCCATCCAGCTTAGACACGCGACAACTGCTGCAGCAAGTTGCACGGCCAGAATGCCTCGACGCGCTCTTTGAGCAACTGAAACGGATACGAGATCCAGGTAAGTACTGTCTGTGCCAGAAGGCCCATCGGCTCCGGATACTGATGCGTGAGGAGGGCCAGCAGGGCCGTGAAGGAGCAGAGGCCAGCCGTGAAGAGTATGAAGAACGGCAGCTCCTTCTTGGGATAGACGGACACCTCATGGAAGGCCGGCAGCAGTTCACGATCGGCGCACTCGGTGCACGTTGGATATGGATAGAAGAGATGGCCGCGCTCTAGCGGATACGGCAGCATGCGAAATGTACCCTCCCAGGTGCAGTGCAGCAGATTGAGGGCCCCCTCCACCTGCTTCCAGTGCTTCAAATGGAAGAACGCATATGCCAGGGCCTCGGAATCGCCGCGCTTCAATATATGCTCGGGCGGCAGAATGAGCGGCTTCGTCTCCAGCAAATACTTGGGCACGTGCGGATTGAACTCGACTGCCCGATGAATGGCCTCCACGGCGCTCATCTCGGCCGGGCTCAGGCCGCGCTTCGAGGCAATGTCCGGCGAGAATTTGTCGGCAACGGCGCGCGCCTTGAGCAGCGCCGCCGTATAGCAAATGGTCGCCGATTTTGGCAGCGAGATGTCATCGTACTTGGCCAGAATGGCATGGCAATCGGCATAGGCCTGCATCTCCAGCAGCGTTTCGATGAGATTCTCGTGGATGTTCAGCACGCTCATGATGGAGGGGATCTCCTTGGTGAGGTCGCGAAACATCTTGGCCGCCTCCTTCAACTTGCCCAGCTTGCGGGCGCACATGGCCAGCCGTCGCTTGATGTAGATGAGAACGTTCGTGTCCCTGCGATGCATGCCGTCTGCGATGGCTCCCTGATGCTGGGTGGCCTGCGACTTGCGATAGTTGATCTCGGCCACCTTGAGGGCCGTCTTCAGTATCTTCTCGGCCTCCATGATGGTCATGGCCTCCTCCTCGGCCAGCAGGATGTAGGCCGGAGCACACTCGGCATTGATTTCCAGGGCATTGTGAGCGGATTTGATGCGCTGCATGGGGTTCCGTTCACGCCAGGCCGTCTGCATGATCTCGTACTCCTCCTTGCGGGCATCTCCTTCGCATGTGAAGAACGTCTGGTGGTCCTGGGCGCTCAGGTTCATGTCGTAGTAGGTGAGCGGCTCCTTGCTGGTCGCCCAAAAGAAGCGCTGATACTCGGCGCCGCGAAACAGATTCAGGGGATTGCGCCACACTTTACACTCGGGCATCTGGGTGCCCGTGGTGGTGGTTGAATTGGTTCCCCCACCAGCGCCCGGTCCCCCACCTCCTGCGCCGCCGCCGCCACCGCCACCACCACCATTGCTGCTGCTACTGGAGCCACTGCTGGTGCTGCTGCCGCTGCCATTGCTGGAGTCCGATTGGGCATCATTGCCATTGATCCAGGGACTGATGTGATTGATGGACACTTGCTCTGCAATGCCAATTGATAAATCAGTTGAAAATTGCAAATTGCAAATCACAGAGCGCCACTCTGGCTGAGTGCCACGCGACTTACCAATAAAGGATGTTCCGTATTTGCGAAAATACCACCACTCAAAGATTAGGATCAGGCCCGATATGAGGCTCGAGGTGCCCGTGAGTGCCACATAGAACTTTGGCGTCAATGTGCTGAGAAACATGGACGAGTCCCACATCCTGAGACACACAGCACTGCCACAAACTTTTTGGAAATTGTGTATTGGATGTTGTTGTTGTTGCCTGACGTTGCCGTTGCCGTTGCCGCCACGACCGAGCGTTTAGCAGCGCTTTCGTCGCCTCGCGTGCTCTTCAAACCGCCTCCGAAGTGCAGTGGTTATCGAGCCGAACAAATCGTTTACAAACAAATATCCTCGCTTTATCCTTGGATCCTGCAGACTTTTTTTCTATAAAGTATTCATCGGAGTGGTGCAGGGGGGGGAGAGCGTTTAGATTTTCGATTAGAGTGACCATGCACCAAAACACCAAGACACCAAAAAATAGTGACACCTATCGCTGGCACTCTATCGATTGTTTTCTGACATCTCTAAAAAAATGGCCGCTCGCTAGCAAAAGAATAGATTTTTTTTTTTAACCCAGTCGAAGTGTCACGAATCAATCAATTATATAGATAAATAGCTGTTGTCTGTTCAGTGGCCATAGAAAATGATGGCACAGATGGCAGGCGACAAATTGGACGCCAAGGAACCCTCCCAATGCGAGGAGGATGTTGGGCCAGGCGCACGCGTCAAAGAAGATTCTGAACCAAACACTGCAGCGAAGGTGGGGGTAAAAAAAGCGGGCTCCGATCCGGAAAAACGTAAAGACCTGCTCAAAGCAAATGGTCTCGAAAAGCAGGATGCTGCCTTGGACGAAATGAGTTCGTTGGAGCTGGAAATAGCCGAAATGCATAACATACACCCCTCCGATCAGGCCCTAGAGAATGCAGTCGAGAGTGCCTCTGCCAGCAGTGGTGGTGAAAATGGTAGCCCTGTTGCAGGGGGCGTGGACGAGCCCGCACAGACAACTGGTGACGGGACGACATTGCCGGACAAGCGACAGGACAAGGCCCGTGAGGGGGAGACCAGCGAACAGGCTCTCGAGGAAGTGGACCTAATCGCCCTACTAAAAGGCACGGATACACAAGAGGAAAAGTCTGCCATGGAGAAGACCCTTTCCGAATTGGATAACGTTGATGTGGAAGTAACCATCGTGGGCGAGGGGCAATATCCAACCTTGGAAGTCGACGATGAAGAACACAGTGTGCCGGCAACAACCGGCGCGAAGACCTCCAAGACATCCTTGTCCACCAAACTGCTCAGCAAACCTTCCTCCTCCTCGTGCCCCCTTTACAAACCGAAGCTCTCGCCGGAGCAGGCACGAGCCGTGGCCCTGGAGCAAATAGCCGATCTAAAGGCACACAAATCGCGGCGCAGAGAGCCTGTGGCCAGTGTCGTGAAGCCCAAGGACATAGTGAGCACACTGAACGACGACTGGACCGACTGTGACTCCGACAGCGAGGTGCCAACAGTCGCCGCGGCTCCAGTCGTGCCCAAAAAGCTGCCTCCTCCCCAGCCGAAGGCCGTCAAGGTTGGGCCAGACAATTGCCAACGGATTTACAATCAGCTCAAGGTAATCCTGAAGCCGGTAAGCCCCAGAACTGTGGCTGCCTCCACGAAAGCCGTGAAGCGGGCAAAACCTGCCACACCCACAGAGCCCGTCGCTAGCGAAGCGCCTACAGGTACAGTACAGTGAAGATTTCCTCAAAGAAATTACAATTTTACGGCTTGAATTTTTTGCAGGGAACAAGCGCAATCGTGTGCCGAAGATAATATGGGATCCGGATGTGCCAGAGACGCAGAAATCGTTTGCCCAGTATGCCAGCTCCAAGGGAACGGCGACTCCGCCACTGGCGCCATCAACAGCGGCTGGCGCTGGCACATCAGCATCCCCAAAGACTGCGAAACCGAGCCCCGGCAATTCGACTTGGCTTGTGGTCAAGAGGGTGCCGCGGACCCCAACAGGGGCAACTACGGGTGCCCCAAAGCCGGAGGCTAGAGCCCCCGCCAAGCGTCGTTCCCGGACGCCAAACACAGGGCTGATGCGTGCAGCGACGCCAGAGGTGCGGGCACCCGCCAAGCGTCGCTCCCAAACTCCAAACACAGGCCTGGCCAACGGCGGCTCCCAGAAAAAGAAGAAAGTGAGCGAGATTGACCGCCTGATGGGGGATGAGGGTGCGGCCAACATGATCCAGGCAGTGGAGCACGAGCAGCGGGAGCATAGTGCCGGCGAAACGTCCAACAAGCCGCGTATGCGCAACCGGGCAATGACGGTAACAATGACGGTAGCTGGAGCTGGACGGGTGAGTAGTGGAACCACCCGCCAGAAGGTGTTTCTTCCAGCTATCAAGCTATCCCGTTTTTATTTTCAGCCGGTCCAGCCCGCGCAGCCCGCGTCGCCCAAGAAGGAGGCGGCCAATGCCAGTGTTCCGAAGACCAGCAAACGCGCCGCAGCCGGTGCCTCCAGTGCTGTTTCCCCGAAGAACGCCACTCCCTCCGCCACTAAAACCAAGCCACTGGCCTCCGACTCGTGGGACTACGTGTACAAGGGGCGGGTCGATGAAGAGTCCATGATTATGCGACGGCGTTCGAACAGCTCGTACTCGAGCAATGCGTCCGTGAATCGCCTCTCGCTGGACAACAAGACCGGAGCCGTGCTCTCGGACGAGGCTGCCGACGCGAACGATCCCACCTTTAAGTTCCTGAAACCGGAGAACAAAGCGAACCAAAGAACTTCCACAGGAGGCGAGGAGGCGCACACCCTCACCAACGACATGAAGCACAGCGCCAGTGGCCAGCCCAAGGAGGCAAAGACAACCGAACTGGTTGTCCTGCACAAGCTGGACAAGCTGGCGCATCTGGTGATCAATGTGCACCGCGGCAAGGCCGGCCACACCTACACCAGCCAGCTGCTGCAGAAGCTCAACGAGCTGCTCAACAGCGTGGCCAAGAACTCTCAGTACAACACAGTGCTGCTGACCGTGCAGGGTCCGCACTTCTGTCAGGGCATTGATTGCCAGGAGCTGGTCGGGGGCTCTGTCGAGAAGCGCAAGAACAGTGCCAGTCAGCTAACGCTGGCCCTCAAGTGAGTAGAATCTCTTTGACTTCTCCACCATGATCCCTTGCTTATGAAGTGTGCTTTTTTGTGTGCCTCCAGAAAATACCTACATACGCTGGCTACATTCCCAAAGCCTCTGGTGGCCGGCATTGTTGGCAATTTAAAGAATCTGGGCGTCATGCAGTTGCCGCACATGGACTATGTGGTGGCCGCTGATGATTGCTGCTTCGAGACCAATTATGCCAAGATTGGACAGCTGCCCGAGGGCTATGCACTCTTCCACAACCATCCAAAGGTTTCCGCTCTGGTGGTACGTTCAAATTCCTTCCTTTTAATAGATATAGCAGAGAGTAATATCCTGTCTTTGATCGCAGCACTCGCGTTTGTTTTTGCTGGGCGAACGCTTGAGCGCTTCAGATCTGTTGGGGCCAAGCGGCTTCGTGGACAAGACTTGCCGCCCACGAAGCGTCGGCGAGGAAGCACTGGCAGTGGCCACCTTAATATCCACAACAACGGCGGAGGTACGTGACAAAAATCTTGAAAAACTGCTGGCCATCGAACGATCCTTAATCGATCTTTAATATCTTTACCATCATTTGCAGTCGTATCGCAATCTGAAGAAGCTAAATCACTCGGCCATCAATTCGGCAAACTTGCCGCGAATGGACGAAGAGTTCAAGTCCATAGCGGAGCAATGGGCAACAGCCAGTGTCCAGGGGAATTTGAAACGTTATCTGAGCGGTGACGGTCATTTGTAAAGCTACCAAAATGCTCTGGTAGCCTACATACATTCGTTAATAATTCACTTTATTCAATTAAAGTCCACCTATAGTTGATCTAATTCGGATAGCAATTTTAAATTCTAACATCGGAAATCCACCTCCAAATAAGTATATAAACATGTACTGTACAAAAGCATAAGATTAACTGAAGCTCTTAAACACATATGTCACCTAAATTTATCTACAATAAGAGTAATCCAGATGATAATCCAATTTTCCAGGATCTGTGGAAACATAAACTATCAAATGTTTTCGGTTTAATTACCGTTATAAAGACTACTGTTTTTATAACTAGTTTTGGAATGTGTTTTCTATGGGTTTGGTTTGGTAGGAGTGGTGGGGCGCGGAGACGCCGATGCTACACCGTTGCTGCTATAAGAGGGGGCGAACGACGACGGCGCTGGACAGTCAAGTGCAGAGTGTGAGACAGAGTGCACGAAATAAAGCGAGTGCGAACGAACCAGAGTGAGAAGTATAGTCAGCAATCCTAGTGCCAAAGGGGTAGTAGCACAACGGAGGAGCCAACGGGAGGAGGCCCAAGGGCGTAGCAGACGCAGCAGAGTACGGCAGATCCATGCCAAGAGTTAACCCATTGTGGTAGCCTCGAGCGACAAGAGCGTAGGGATTAATATCCACAGATTGTCAATAAAGATACCAGAAAACATACAGCCACCGACCGCTAAGCAGGCCTAGCTGACTTAGAAGGACAAAAACTCTACACAGTTCGCTTCAATGAAAATCCTCGAGTTTTGATCTCCGAGTTTACAGTTTTATTTTGCTCCAATTCCCATTTGGCGCCAATCGATTTAAGCCATTCGCCGCGAACATCCATCAGGCCGGGTGCGCTGCTTACCAACACTGGCAGTAGACAGTTCAAATGTTTCGGTTTTTTTTTTGTTTTGTTACCAGTTTATAAATATATTGGGGGGGGGGGGGGGGGGGGGGGGGGGGGTGGCTGTAGTATCTAGAAAAGGTTCTTCTATTTAATGTACAGTGTAATGTAATGCATGCAACTAGTAATTAAACTACTAATGTCTACGTTTGATGTATGCCCGACAGCAGCTACCAGCGCGATGATGCTTAAATGCACATTCCGCCGTTCCGTTGCGTTCTGTTGCCGATCTACGCCCTAGTTGTGTTTCTCGTCCTCGTAGTAGGCAGGCAGCTCGGACTGAATACGCAGCAGGCGCACGTAGGTAACCAATTTCCATTCGCTCAACGGCTGCTCCTCGGCGTGCACAAAGCTGGACATGTAGGTGACCAGCTCCTGTGAGCCATCCTGGTCCAGATCGGCTATCAGCATCGAGTGCTCCTGGTTGTTAATATCCGGCTGGCACACCATCTCGTTGCGGTCCTGGCGGCAGAACTGCACAATGTTGCTCTGCGACGTGTTTTCGATCCGTGTATCGGCGCCCATGAACAAGACGAGGATGACCGTCTCGGTGATCATTTGCATTTTGTAGCTGCTGCCTCCGCCTCCGCCTCCGCTTCCGTTCACAGAGCTGGCCTTCGTCTGGTTCTTGTAGGGGACGCCATAGGCCTTCCGCTTTTCGATTAAGTGCTCAAAGACATCGAACTGCTGGCTGGCCGAGGGGAATTCATGGCCTTCTCCGGCTTCTCTGCGCTTCAGACGCTGCTGCTGCTGTTGCTGCTGCTTCTTGCCGTGGGACGACTTCTCCTTGTCCTTGATGGAGTTCATGTTCTTGGTGTTGCTGCTGCTGTTGCTGCCATTGCCATTGCCATTGCCATTACCATTACCATTGCTCTTCTGCACATTGTTGTTGCTGTTATGTGCGGCCGGTGTAGATGTCTGGGAGGGGGACTGCTTCTGCACCTTGTTCCCGACATGCCACTTCCAGAACTTCATCACAAAGCCGGACATCTGGGATTTGGTGTTCTTAAAGTGATACTCAGCCGGCACCATGCCGTACATTCCGGTGTTTGTGAAATTCCTCAGCACGTGGGGCTTTCCATTGCGCACCTCGCTCAAAACGAAGGTCACGTTGCAGTCTTCCGGGCAAATGCCCCGATTCTCGACTACCAGTTCGCGTCCGCTTAGCGAGTAAATGTTGCGCTGCGAGTCGATCTCCCGGCGCTGTCCGTGGTTGCGGTGCTGGGAGATCTTGGAGGCAGACAGCAGACGTTGTCCCACAATCGATTTGTTGGTTATCAGCCCGTTTAGCTCCGCCAGAGACTTGGAGCGCTGCTGGTCCGAGTTATTGGGCCGCAGACAGATGTAGCTGATATTTCCGGCCTCCAGCTGGAGTCGGCTCAGCTTCTGGCAGTCGTGGACCCGGAAGCCATCGCCTATGGGCCTGCCATGGCGCCCCGATAGCAGTCGGAGCACATTGCGTGCCTCCAGTTGGGCCGCGGTCTCGTGCTTGGGTTGGATAAGCGACTTGGTGCGCTGCTCCAGCGACAGGCTGGACACGAGCAGTATGTCCAGCACTCCATCGCCATCCAGGTCGGGCAGAATGATGGGAAAGTCGTAGGCATCGATTTTGTGGGCCGAGCGCTCCTTGAAGCGCCAATGCCACTGTCCGGAGACCGGATTGATGGCCCCCAGCTCGCCGTACTCGTCAATCACCAGACAGTCCGTCTTCCCATTGTTGTCCACATCGATCAGCGTGCAGTCCAGGGCCGCCGGCTCATCCACCATCTCGTCGTACCAGGCCACAGCTCCAGAGCTGCCGATCAACGAGATGATCCCATTCCGCTTGTGATTGCCCGGCCGGAACTCCGGGAAGAAGGCATCGCCGCGGTACAGAAATATCAGATTGTTCTCCCAGGCGCGCAGTCCATTGACCACATTGATGCCGCCCTTGAGCTCTATTTTCGTATAGTTATTCAGCCAGTTGTGGGTCTTCACGCGGTCGCCCACGGCTGGGCAGGCCCCGGTGCCATCCGGATTGCCGCACGGCACCAGCCAGACAAAGCCGAAGACCGCAAAGAGGCACAGCAAGAGGGAGGCTATAAAGCAGCTGCGCCTTGCCGTCGACATGGGCGCGAGCTTGGACTCCTCCGTACTGCCGCCCAGGATGGCCACGTTGTCTGCCGTGGCATCGAATTCGCTGTTGAAGTTGGAGAACTCGGCTCCCACACTGCCGCCGCCCAAGTCGCTGAGCATCACGGACCGGAAAGTGTTTTGCATGTTCGTGGTGTAGCTGCTCGTGGGCGTCTCCAGCTGAAACTTCTGCGGCTGAGGATGGGACTGCGACTGCGACTGGTACTGGGATTGGGACTGAGATTGAGACTGCGGCTTGCTTACGATACGTGTGGCTGTGGGCCGCGTGTGCGGAGACTTGAGCGCCAAGGTATTTGGCGGAATGCGACTGCGTTGAGATTGGCGCTCCTGGGGCGTATGCTGCTGCTGCTGCTGCTTTTGCTGTTGCTGTTGCTGTTGAGATTCGATGTGGAATCGCTGGCGATGCTTGCTGGCGTTGTGAATCTCGATCTCTTCGTCGGATTCGGAGTCGGTCATGGCCTGACTTAGCGGCGCGTAGATACCTTGGTGGGTGGTGCTGGTGGGCAATGACTCCGTGTGCAGCATTTTAGCTGAGTGATAGGAAAAATCAATAAGTTTCACTGTCAACGACTCGAGAGTGTAGACAGGAGGGCCAAATTCTCGGACTTACTGACCTTTATTTGATAGCACAAGCACTTGCTAATTGCTGGCATCCACATAGCTACTATTTGTTGTATCTTTATTGGATTAGCCGAACATTAAATTCACAGGCACGGCCCCAAAGCAACCCCAACGACCAGAAGCTATTCGCATTTGTAACGTATGCCAGCCTGTTCACGTAAACTGTGACTGTGTAAAATGTGCTTGGAACTTATCGATAGGAATGTGACCAATGGAATGCCCATCACTACATGCAGCAAAAACAACAACAACAGCGTTTGTGGTTTACGTGCGTGAAAATTAGTTAAGTTTTTATGAAAAAACAGTATTTAGGACATTGCAAAAGCAATTCCAAGTGATCCGTATGCTGCGGCAAGGCCCTGTGCAATCGGTAATCAAATGCGTGACAGGCTCAAAGGGCAGAACGGAGTGAATTGACAAAAGTGAAAACGTCTCGGCAGTCATAGGAAAACGGTGCCAAAACGAAAAGAAAGAAAGAGCACGCTGCCAGAAAAGCACACAAGTACATACAAAGATACACGCAGTGCACTCGACGCCCCTCCCACACTCTTTAATTAGTTTGATTTTCCAGTAGTGAATAAATCTAAAACCAAAACCAAATCCCCCCACCGTTCGAGACGTGCAATCAAAAAAAAAAAAACCAAGCCCAATCACCACACACACATACACAACACTTCCCCACACGCACACACACACACACACACACCCATACATAGAAATTGTGTATATTGCGTAGCAAAGAAACGCCAACGTCGACGCCATCAGCCAACAACCAGCACCAAAAACAACAATAAGAATACAAGTAAATACACCAGCTCCAGAAGGTAGCCCCAACGCCAGCGGCAAGCCGCCCATATGTCCACCTACATGATGGCCAAAACGCTGGAGGAGCAGAGTCTTCGGGAGTGCGAGCACTATATACAGACGCACGGCATCCAGCGCGTCCTCAAAGACTGCATCGTCCAGCTGTGCGTCTGCCGACCCGAGAATCCCGTGCAGTTCCTGCGGCAGTACTTTCAGAAATTGGAGCGGGTGAGTCCCCCATTCATGCATATCTATATGTACATACTTTTTGGTTATTTGATTGCTTGTGGGTGTGTGCGTGTCACTGTCTGCGCGAATATTACGGCTGGGGGCCTCAGGGGGGGAAGCCTCAGCGGCTGTGACTTGTTCCATGTTCGCCATCCAGGGTTCAATCATCGCCCCCCACTGGCCTCTACCATCTTCAATTACTTCCAACAACCTATGCTAAAAGGAACAATTGAATCCCAGAAGAGTTTCCTTTACCACTCGTGCTTCGATTTAAGGTAGTCAGCCATAGATGCTGGCGCCTCCAAGTTCAAGTCCAAGTCCAGGGCCAAGCGAGAGAGTGGGCCGAGGAAGGTCAAACGGGGGCCCGTCCCTAATAAAGCTGGTTTGGGGATCAGTCTGGGTATGGTATGCCATTCTCTTATCCTTCAAATGAACATCAAAAGATCACTTCTTTAAGAGGTTGGTAAGTGCAATAGCGACAATATGGGAGATGCGAGATGGCGAGGGAAATATATAAAAAGATTGTTGGGGGAGGCCTTGGAAAATGGTCAATCATGTTTCGTTGACTTTGGACTCTGGTGGCTGATGGGGACACGGACACGGACACCAGCCTCCATTTCCACCGCCATCCCCATCCCCATCCCCATCTCCATCTCCCGTTCGATGCGAAAGCAACAAGCGTGTGTTTGGGTTGGTCAACAGCCACTGCCAATGCCGCTCCACATGAAAATCAATATCACCTCCGGTCTATTTTTAAATGCAATGGCGCTAAGGACACATACTCACCTACACCCCTGTTCATGCGACAGGGAGTGTGAGGGGTTTTTTAAAGCACATCCCTGGGGATGTGTGGGACAGCCAGAGATAGAGATAGAGAGAGAGAGAGAATACCCGGGTTAGTGCATCCTGCAGTTCGCCAGAGCCTGAAAGCTTCTCCTTTCTCGACGCAACAGACTGCAGAGAGCGCTGCTTGCAACCGGGCAGTGCTATGGCCATGTCCTACACCCACCTCTCCCTCTCCCTCTCTCTCTCTCTCTCTCTCTCTCTCACACTCTCTCTTTTCATTCCATGTGTGTGGGCGCTCTCTCGGGAGCTGCTACTGCTGCTGCTGCTGCTGCTGTTTTGCCTGTTGAATGCCCGAGTCAGCTTTCAGTCCGATAAACATCCTAGCGCCGAGCAGAAGCAATCAGAGGAAGCACCCGCCACCTGCAGAGTCCGTCGAAGGATTTGTTTTTTTTTGTTGTTGTTGTTGTTGTTGTTTTAGTGCTTGCTAGTCTGCTGTTGCGCCGCAATGGGCAACCAGCTGAGTATGAATAGCATCCAGGATGCGGTCATGGATCGCCTCAGGTCGGTGGCCCTAACCACCGACGAGAACGGAGCGATGCGCATCCGTTCCTTTTCCGAGGGCGGCGTGGGAGGCACCGCGGGCCACCATCACCATCAGCACTGCAGTGGACGCGGTGGGCGCATACTGCGCGAGAGCAGCATCGATGGGGGCGTTGCTGTCTTCGATGCCCTGCTGCGCGACGAGCACGAGCATCGGCTCAGCCTGGACGCGATGCATCGGGTGCGTCATGTGCGCACCTCTTGCACGACGATTCCCGAGGAGGAAATCGTAAGTGATCCCGAATCTCTCCTCCCTCCCTAGCCCCCTCCCTCGCGCCATCGCTCCCTCCACGAAATCCATGAGAATTGCGCTCTGTCCGTGTATGGTCCGCCTAAAAGCTCTTCCCTCCCGCCTTAGTGCGAGAGTGTGCGCGTGAGAAAAGCTTTGGTTACAGTTATATTCTGCCTCCGCGTCTCTGCTGTGCTTCTACCTCGTGTAGCTGCAAATGACGATGTCGTTAGCGGCGGTAGAGCCCAACAAACAGGTCCCTAACGAACACTTGATACCCCTCTCGGTAAGGCAGATTATAGCAGATGCAAGGTGTGGAAATCGGGAGTATATTTTCTCAAACTATATTTAATTGAAACATAATTATTTTATCCCATATACAGCCGCACGAGGATTTACATCCACTCCATCCTTCTACGGCCCAAGCCCCCTCCTCGCAGGAAGTGGCATTAAATGAGAGCTAAATCGCTGGCTCTAGCCGGCTGAGGAGAGCTTTGGGCCTGGTGGCAACAGCATGCTTCTACCTGGATAAAAACCGACAAGAAGAGAGTTAAATCAATGTCTAAAATATAGTTTTTGAATAAACATACTTATATGTGTTTACAAAGCTTTTTTATCCGTACCATTCGTATCAGGCGGACGCGGCCAGTTCTTGAACATCTTTGATGGGCAAAATGGTATACCCTCTACCCTGCACTCCTGCGGGGTATCGAAAACTTACCTGACGCACACAGACGCACTTACTCTCCTCCTACACCCAAACACTGCTACTGTCTCTCTCTGTCTCTCTGTCTCTCACAGTTTGGGCAGCTTTTTTGCAAGTTAATGTCGAATTTGCACTTGAAACTCGAAAGGAGGCAGTAAACGAAATCAAAGCTGGCTTCTCCTTCTCCTTTAGCTCCTGCCGAAGCTTTTTGCCAGCCGCTGCGTCATAGCTGTATGTGTGTGCGAAAACTTTACTTTTTGCCCATATATATACATATATATATATGTATATATGTGTATTTGTATCCTTTATCTGTGCGTGCGTATTGGTGAAGGTCATCCTGGTGTCGTCGTCGTCGTCGTCGCCGTCGCCGTCGTCCGTCTCTCAGTCAGAGTCAGAGTGCTTTCCTCTTCGGTTGCGTGTGTGCTCCTGTATCAGTCGCCTCCTATCGTCCGTTGTCCTCGTTACTGTGTTACTGTTACTTTTACCGTTCGCCATTACCGTTACTGTAGCCGTGTCTGCGTCTGGTGGCGCTGCTTCTGCCGCTGATTGATTGCCTCTGGGGTATTCCGGCAGCGGGTCCTGATCATCGAATTGTTGACCACTTAATGGTCGTGTTTATAGCCGCGTTACGCGCCACAGCCCCCCCTCCCGCCCAGCGTTGCGACCTGTCATCGGCTCGTCCGCCCCTCCGTGCTGTTGACGCCGGCGTGTGATTAGAGACCCGAAAATCGTGCCAGACAAACGGCTTTACGACTTTATCGCCATTGACCGCCAAATTGGACCATAAACCAGACAACAACAAATCATAAAAAGTAAAGAAAAGAAAAGAAAACGAGGACTAGGACTAGGAGGAACCCGAAACCAGAAACCAGAAACCAGGAAATCCAAGCGGATCAGCCATGGTGGGTACACTGGTTTATGCTGGGATGGATATGGTGGGGGGGATTATCCTTGGAAACTGTAGGCAAAATGTCATCTGATTTTCGCCTTTAATTGGGCTACTCTTCGTTGATTTATGGACAGGATTTTCCCGGAATTCAATTTGATATTGAAATCTATTTTTGTATATGAATTTCTGAGAACAATTGAGAAGAGTGGAGGTATCCCTATCGCACCCCCGACTTGTGCATAAATAAATCATCGTTTTGTGTCTGTTTCTGTTTTCATTTCGGGGGTCTCCATTTATTGAGAACCGAAACCAATGCGAAAACTTTTATGTAAATAATACACTCGCCCCCACAGACCCCATTCCATTTCGTTTCGTTTCGTTTCCGCAGACCTGCTCCCAGGACAAAAAACTTTCCTCCGTGTCCCCCGTATCTCCTTGTGTATCTCCGGCAGGATGTGGAGCGACCTTTTGTGCGCCCTCATCCATTAGACGGCTTATAAACGCCGTTTGCCTCAGACCAGCAGAGTGGCACATGAATAATTTGGCTAATAAGAAAACGAGGGCAAAAAATCTCAGTCCTGAAGCGCAGGAGAGGAAAGGCCTTAAGACCGTAGGTTGTCGTTGGGAGGCCAACTCTGGCCTACTCCGATGAGCAACAGTTATCAAGGAGCTTACATTTCGCTTTCCCTTAAGCGAAAGGTTCTCATTTCTTTTTTATTGTAGAAGGAAAAACTAAACTTTTCAGGAATAACCATTAAATATTTACACTCACTTAAATGCGAAAACAGTGAATGTGCGACAACCCTGGCACTAGCTGTTGTATTTTTCAGTGTGTACACATCGGCTTTCAATGTACAGTCAATTCAAAAGGCTAGAAAAGAAAGAACTCCATTGAATGTATCGTATTTAAGCGAGAATTTCTCTGGAATAATCTCGGATGGTGTGTGATCTGCGTTAATCATTCTTTTTACCGAATAATTGATCTCTCGAAAGTTTCCTTTAACCACATTTATCCTTTGGGCCGTCTGACGTCAGCCGTCCAGCCATCCAGCCAGTCAGAGTCCTCGGACGTCGCTTCAGCTGTCAATTTGCTGCTCGGCGATGACAGCTGTGACGACGATTGTCGTTGTCCCTTTCGCAGGACATTCGCTTGCCAGTTGCCAAAATCATAAATGAGCAGCGGAGGACCATCGAAGGACCGTCGAAGGCATAGAACAGATCCCAGCTATCGATACGGGGACGCCTTTGTGTCCCCAAAAATAATGTTTATGCAGGCACTGGCAACAACAGAAGAAGCTTTCTGTGTAAATGATGGCTCTGAGAGGACCGACCACCCCGCACCGCCACACATCACGGCGGGGGTAGGTGGCAGGTGGCAGGAGGCAGGAGGCAGGAGGCAGTGTCAGGAGCAGAACAAAAAGTTCACTGAATTGGAAATTTCGCTGAACAAAGTTTTGTGGGTGTTGCTTGCAGCGCACGGGGACCCGTTTTCCACGGGTCTTTTTTCAGGCTTTACGGCTGAAACATTTAAAGCGCAAAAACACGCCAAACAGTGCGGGAGGGAGAGAGAGAGAGAGAGGGGCAGAGGGGCAGCGGGGCAGAGGAGGAGAAACTGCGTCAAGTAGGGCGCAAAATTTTAATTAATTCGATTATAAAACGCAGTCACACACACATTTTCAGTGCGGAAGAGTGCCAGAGCGGAAGCGAGCAACCGAACAACCGAGCAACCGAGGAACTGAGAAGACAAAAAGCTTTTCCGCATTTCAATGCAGCGCATCCTTTTCCGGCTTGGTCTTCCTCCGGCGCTCCTCCGATTGTTCCATGAGTGAACTCAACTGTGAGGCGATAGAAAGTTATGGCCAGTGGCCCACATTTCAGAGTGTTCCCGAGTGCTGCTGTGCTACAAAGGAAAACCGAAATTTAATTTGCCAGAGAGCCACAAAAGAACAGAGAACACAAAACGGAGAGGAGTCAGAGCCAGGGATAAGATAATTCAATAGAGAAGTTTAGCGGAGGAGGCTATACTATGATATGATACATAATTCATTTCGTTCTTTCTTCGGCGTGTGCTGATGTCCTGGCGAAGCTCCCAGTCCTTGCTATAGAATCAGCGAAGAGTGCAAAAAGGGAATGCCCGAGAATAAAGGAAACAAAATGCACGTCGTGTGCATGATACCTTCACGATTTACCTTGAAGGAATGACAAATTGCATCCACTAACACCCACTTAAGAGGCGCCCAGAGAGGCCCCTCTCCTCGAGGCGCTGCTCAGATTGCCACACTTAACCTGTCATCCAACCTGCACCTGCACCTGCACGTGTGCCCCAACTGCCCCAAGGCCCCAGAGGCAGAGACAGCTGTAATCCTAACTAGGCGTCTGTGGAGGGCCCTTCGCATCGTCCATCCCAGTGCTAATGAGAGCATTCCATGAAGATGGTTTCGCTTTCGAGGGCCCAAGGGCCCACGAGCACGAGCTCGAGCACGAGCACGAGTATGAGATATAATTGTAATTGTTATTGACAATTTATCCGGAGTGAGCAAGCGGCGAATGTGTGCGAGTGAATTTGCATATTTATGGCCACACGAAACTATAAATTGCTGCCATAGCAAATCAAATCTGTTTCCGCCGCTGCCTGGCGAAAAAATACTCGTAAGCCGCCTACAAACTTTCGGTTTTTTTTTTGTTTGTTGCCTCTGTTTGGCGCACCCTTCCAGAGGGTATTCAGATTTTGATTAACCTTTTGATCAGCCAAGAAATACAACAGAAGGAATGTCAGCGTGTCCTTCTCTATGAAAAGTTCTGCATTCTAGGAACCACAAATATCGACAGATCTGTAACATACGAGTATGGAACGATATATCGGACATTTGAATGATCAATCTTTAAGGGTATCAAATGCCTCGACCCCCAAATCCAGCTTTTCTTTCTTGATTTCTTGGTTTCTTGTTTTCTTGTTATTTTTGCAGCTTTTCCGTTTTGATGTTATTGTTGTTGTCTTCTGTTGGCACTGGCGCTCAAATTGATTTGTTTTCAGAGACCTGGGAGCCCCGAAAGGTGCGCGAATCGAATGGAACGGGCACTCGGCCTTCCATTCCTCTCATCTTCGGGTTCTTCGGGCCAAAAAGTGCTCTTGGCCACAATCTGTGGCTGTGTGGTTGTGTGGCTCTCACGCTTGTTGTAGTTTCTGTGATGACTCCCACTTTTTAAATATTTTGTAGCGAATGTTACTTTCGTTATAATTGATAAAGCGGCCAGAGGGTCATGTTATGGCAGCACTGGGAGAAATTTTAGACTAAGAAATGCAAAACGGAAAGAAAAAGAAACCTTAAAGAAGGCCTGAGAAAAGAGTTGGAAGTAAAGACCTTAAGTCTTAAGGAATAAATAATATATTTAAAATAAAAATGGATGTACGAAATGAAGGGAAAATATTTATAAAAGCGACACTGCACTCGTGTCATGCACACGACATCTATTTTATTTTTGGATTCTCAGGCATTCTCTTTTGCCGCAATGCAATCGCTTGACCTCAGTTGTCGAAGACTACATCTTGGAGCAATGGGTACAGTCTGAAACGACGGTTTCATACAGATTTTATCTTCAAAGTATACTCAAAGTTGACTCGACTTTCAAATAATTCGATAAAATAAGTTATGTGGTTTTTCCAAGTGGTGAATGGCATGACAACCCACCTACTACCATTCCTTAGAATATCTATTAGATGTCTTAAGCGGGAAAAACCATCCTTCAGCTAGACACTTTGTGTATTTTGTTTTTGCATTCTCGGTCGCGCCTTATTTGTTTCGCTGGCGCCACTCGCCTTCCAGTATTTCTTCTTTTCACTTTTCGCGTGTGCGTCCGAGGGGCTCCAGTTGTCGAAGAATAAATCTGGGAGCAGTGCGAGACCAAGGGATACAGATTCATACAGATTTGATTGGTTTTTTCTCGCAGTGCTGCTGCCTAAATCTCACGGGGGCTGCCTCTTGGCCACAGCAACCTACCACAA